TCACATTATCGGTTACAAGCATGAAAAACAGAAGTGGGCCAACCCTTCCAAACCAAGCCGCAGCCTACGCGAGCATCTACGCAAGGCATACGCGAAGCATACGCGGGGTTTGCCTGCATCTTGTCACACGTTTCTACAGTTGTACCGGCCGGTACTGTACACACATGCACATATGTGAATGACCATGGAAATTAGGCTCAGAAAGCTGACTGTACCGGTTTGTTCAACAAGTTGACAAACTCAAAGAAAACCACGTCACAGCCCATCTCGATGGGCGCGCAATACATTTTCCTCAGCAAACCCCTGTTGTCGAAATCCCTCACACAGTGTTCGCACTGTGATCCCCAAGAAGCATACAGCAACAAGGTCACTCATATCCCTCAAGATCTACTTCCTCAAACTTCAAGTACCAGCCACCAAGCAAGTCAACTAAAGGATGAATATCGGTCCATTGTTCTTTCCGTGTTACAGGTTATTAGAATTACTCCAAGTTACAACTACGCAAATCTGCCTACGCGAGGCACTACTATGTTTTCCTACGCGGTTGCCTACGCAAGCTTACGCCCCCAAGCAGAATAGCCTACGCAGCATCAAGAGTAGTTCCACTTTTGTATAAACTCTTTCATAGACAAAAAAAACGCTGCTCAGGTGGTTCCAAAAGTGAATAGAGTTCCCGAAACATGGTTTAACAAATAGCTTCCAAAACATTCCAAAAAGGTTCATAGGAAATGTCCGAAGGAATATTTTCAGTCATGTGTGTAGTTTCCGAAACATCCCTAGTTTCCGAATCATAGTTTCAGAACCATGTTTTCAGAAACTGTTATCGACCGAGGTTCCTCCTCTCTCTCTATATATCATTTCCATGTTGGTCAGAGTGTACCCGTACCGTGTACCCTTCATCAGTAGTGACCCTCCGCCTGTCCTCGGGGTCTGAATGAGCAGCCGCTGCGAAAGCCCACAGGATTTTCGTCAAAGCCTTCGGTGAGAATCTCGGCGGAGGGGACTCCTCCAGCGCTGCAGGTGTCGATCACACGAAGAGCCCAGGCTGAGGAAGGTCTTTCAGCTTGGGGAGACTGAATTGCAGATGATGTTGGCCAAAAGCAATAACAGGTCTTGTGTTGATTTTTGTGGAATCAGAAAACAACTCGAGCGTTGTTCAAAACCTATCGAGAATTGGCTCTACAGTAATGGGCTTTCTTTTGCAAGTACTTTCGCGACACTTTCGCATCCTGTGTTTTGGCTTTCGCGTGCTGCATTCTGTGTAAAAATACTCGTTCGCAAGCTTTCGTGGACAGAACTGATTTCCCAAGCTTTTGCAAGTTTTCCAAAAGCTTTCGCAAGATTTCGCGCATGAAAGCGTTCGCGAATCTTTCGTGACAGCTTCTTTACCTTTCGCGAAGTCATTTTACATTAACCTCTTTTCAAGTTGTTACTTGGGAAGCTTTGGCCGCTGCTCAGGATTGAGTCTGGTTTGGAAGAACCGATGCACATCGCTGATTCATTCGGAAGATGTATGATAGATGCTCATAATGTAACATACAATCACATATACCGTACCGAATACTACACGGAACCATGCAATGTAAACTCTCAGTGTCTTGGTGTACCCTCCCGGACACTCCCTCCCCATAAAAAGGGAAGTGGAACATAGTCCCTTTGGGCACGCAGTGCTCTGCAGTGGCAGCTGACTGTCTCTCTGCACTCTATCGGTATCTTCCACTTTCATGTCCCCTGCAAAGAGGGTCTCCCAGAAGCCTCACAGCAACAGCAACACACCTGAAAGTGGAAGACTTTGGACAATGTCCCTTGGAAGATCTTCCATTCCTTTACAAAAACCGTTTGTGTCTCACTTTCATGTTTCTTACATGATGGTACCTTGCATTTGCATGCGTTTGCCATGTTCCCCCACCCTATTCGAAAGAACTCTGCCAATCTCGGTCAAGACGTGGCTCTGGACCTCCGGCGCGCTGGCCGCAGCCAGTGCAGCACCTTGGGGGTGCCAACATGGTTACGTTTCGGTGGCCATGTTCATCCAGTCGATCTCTCTCCCTAGGAATCCAGTCGTACCGAACCTCAGGTTAGGCACGACTGGACCCGACAATGGCACCCACCCCAGTCCCACCTTTTTGAGAAGGTACTTGGATCCCTAAGGTCTGTTTCTCTAAGAAAGATCAGAGAATCCCAACGAGCACCTATTCGGGCCACACGACTTATTAACTTATGGATCTCCATTGGAAACCCTTGCAAGGGCCACAAACATATACAGTAATATAATATGATCGCCAATGCTTTTCATTGACATCTGCCCGTAAATGTGGACATCATGTATCATGTAAAGTCATGACTGAGAGGTTCAACCCATTTCAAGCCACTTGTACTGGATGATGTCTGCAGCCCCGCAGAACATGCCCCAGCTGGAGCCTGTGCTTCCACCTACTTATCACAAATGGGCCGATGATGCCCATGACCAGTCACAAACCTGCTTGACAAAGAAACACCATATATCCTTGAGCTATTTAAACAAAGAAAAGAACAATAAACACAAAACAAAACAGAAAGGAGCGCTCCGAGCGGCGCGTTTTTGCATTGTTTCATTTGGTTTGTATTTTGTTTCTATATTTGTATATTGTGTTTCTATTGATTTTTGTGCCACTGAAAGAATCCTATTCTGCCTCAACCCCCCCTCCCCCAAAGGCAATTTCCAAAATTCCAATTTTCCAAAAATCAATAAAATACAAAAAAACAATTGTGCCAGGACTTTGCCTCACCCCCTCTTCCCCCCATGGTCTGTGCAGAATTGTGTTTTTTTGAAAATTGGAATTTTGGATTTTTGTGATGTCCTGGGATATTTTAAAATTGTTCAATTTCCTTGGAAGTGAAATTTGTCAAGCCTTGCACTGCGACGCAAACACATGCAGGTGAACGAGTTTTTGAAACTGCATGACTTGCTGACAGGTGAAAAAAACATTTTGTTGTGCACACGCAGGCTCAGCAGAGATGATTTCTTTGAATACACTACTTTTTGGATGCCGATCTTTTCCGGCTTTCCGTAGTTGAGCGTCGAGACCTTGATTTTTCCCGGAAAGCCCTCACCGTAGATGGAAAGCCCTCACCTTTGGGGAAGGCTGCACCCACATAACATAGATTGAAAGCCCTCACCGTAGATGAGCTGTTTGAAGAAGGTTGCCTTGATTTTTCCCGGAAAGGCCAAATGCTTCAAGATAGTGGTTTCACCCTCAGAGTTTTTGATGATGACGATTTGGATGGTCGTTTCCTTGGGGACTTCAACCTTCAGACCAAAAGGGGCGGGAAGATACTGCAAATCCTTGCGTTCGCATGCCAGTTTGCAGCTAGTGCTGAGGTCAGAAAAGTTGATGTCGCCCTGAAATTTCTGGATGAGATCAAAGGCATGGACCAGGTTTGTTTCCCCTCCGTTCAGTTCCTTCATAGGGAAGGTGAGGATGTTGAAGGAGCCGCATGGCTGGAGAGGGAGCGACATGGGAGCGATGCTCCTGCAAATGAGGCCATTGACAACCTCATGCAAATCATCATACGTCATATCTTCAGACTGCATGGCGGAGTTTGCTACAGCAGACGAATGCTACAAATGGCGTTTCCTGAATCCTTGATGGATGACAAATGCTAACAGACAGATCCTTCCAGGCAATGTCAGACACATCAATCATTCTCAAGAAAACGCATGAAAAAGTTGAAAAATGCTCATTTTCATCGAAAAAAACGCGCCGCTCACCGCGCTCCCCTCTCAGACAAAAACACAAGATATCCTTGATCTATTTAAATATATATATATATATAATAAACATAAACAAACAAACAAACAAAAAACAGTATTTTGCACTTGGCACCTGCCAGCGCATCTGGGCTATAAGATGCCAGCTGCGAAGGTCCTTCCGGATGCGCATGCGTCGCTCGATCCAATGCGTGCAGCATCGTCTTGGTGACCTCGACGGTGGCGGCCAAGCGGCAAGAATGGCTGGTTTGCCAGGGGCTAATTCGATACACCTATTGCTATTATGATACAAATACCGTATGTGTTTGAACGATATATGACATATCATCTATTCAACCCACTCAGATACCGCTCCAGTGAAGGCCCTTAAGGCTCCATCGTCGCTCGTGGAGCTCTCACCCCTCGGCAGCTCTCACCTCCTCTCCATTGAACTCCTCAAAAATGTACTGCGCTGACATGGCGGCAGTATGAGGAGCTCTACATCCTTCAAAGCGATCGTGTCACATTTCAGGGCTCCGGGCCAACTGAATCGTTTGGATTGACTGTAGCGACTGGAGGCCATATTTGACAAAATACTCTTTTGCAGATCTTACTCATTGCGGAACCATCGCCGCGTGAGGTCCGGAGGTTTTAGGTCGAAAGCCCGACTTGCAATCGCCGCACTGTTGTAACTGCCAAGGGGATGTACATAACTCTATATCATTCTCTGGAATCTCTCTTTAAGATGTATAAACATGTATAGACTATCGCATCCGGTCTTGCTTCAAACTGACGGCTGTTTCAGCCTTTCGTCATGAACTCTCACGGCACTCACGGAGAGTCGACGTTCGGTCCCATGGAGCGACCGTGGCGGACACGACGAACGGCGGCGTCACGCCGGCGACCGCGGGGGGATGGTCGTGCCATCGACTATCTGAAACCATGGTAGTTAGGATACACATGGATACGCATGAATCACCCGAATGAGTGGTTTTTGTCCATACATGGAGTAGTTTTTCTTGACCAGTCATATTGGATAGGTGGGCTGGAAGGACCAGCAATGAGCCCTTGGGCAGTGTTTCGTTCGTGAGGTCTTTTTATGACTGGGCCTGGTTAGCCTACAGGTCTGGTGGGACCTCGTGTCTGCAAATTCTTCAATGATGGGTCTGCCCCCTCTTAAGGCTCTTCACCCCACCAGGTTCAGGTGAGGTCTGACTTCTCCACATCATGTGCGCCACCAAACCCTGGTGCCGGGGGGGTGCTGCACAGCCTCAGCATTTGGCCCCTGAGTCGGGCGCCATTGCCGGCCTGAGTCGTTGTGATGAATGTGATGTTGCGAGGTCTGGGATGAGGTTTTGATACATGTGTGGTTTCATGTGGTTTCGGTGGTTTGATAGTTGCTGTTTCATGTGGTTTCATGTGGTTTCTGGTTTCTATAAAGATTGGCAAACAAACATGGAAACCACAAGACAGCTCGGAAGAGATATATGATTCTCCTCTAATTACGGGTTTCTCCCTTTGTCTGTTTGTTTTGGCGAGCGTAGTCTTATTACATATTAATGCCCTCTATCCGAGCATCATGGTAGTGGATGAATCCGTGGAAGACCGTACAAATAAACTCTTATAACAATGATTCTTCAAACGGGATGGAAAAACGGGATGGAAAGTGTTTAAGGTTTCCACAAAAGAATTGAACAAGTTTGCCACTATTCAAAGCAACACATGTTTCGACCAGGTCGCCTTCCTCTGATCCGGTGATGATATTGACGGATCTATGAAATCTAATGTAAGTCTAGGTCTATCCTTAGACCTCAAACCACCTACTCTCATCACTTCAGAGATCTTGCTGGGAGGTCTCATCAGTTTGAAAAGAGCACCAGCGGCCTTGGACGATGCGGCCAGTGGTCAGGCATCGTTGCCCTTCAAACATGTTCAAGTGATATAGGTTGAATGTGAATGGATCCAAAACCACCCAAAACCCTCCAAAACCCAGAAACCAACGGTTTCAAGTGCTTTGAGATAGCCACCACGTACCTGCAATCTAGCTCTGAGAGGAAGGGGTGGGCCTCAGGCTCCCAGCTGATCTAGCATCTTCGCTGCTTTGACTGCTGGTATCTGGTCCAAGGAATGGATGTCCTCGGACAGCTAGTCGTGACCAAAAGGCCGAACACATCTGGAAAAAAACATGAGCGCACCATGCAATAGTTCAACACACAAAAAATAACAACATCGACTGCTTGGTGACCCTCTCCCGGTTCTGAGGATTTGAAGAGGTGGTTGACTCCTGACTCCCAGTCTGGTGGTGTCACTGGCGGATGGTCAGTGACTCCTCTCTTTCAGCACCCGGTCCTGCAGTCTCCGGTCGTTGGGAGTCCTGGAGACTGGCCGATGGTTTGTTGAAAAAGCCGGGCCATGGTGGCCATCGCCTTGGGTTGTTTAAGTGATTACGCACCTTTTCTGCGTCATGAAGAGGTCCGATTTCGCCACTGACATTCATGGTTCTTGAAAGAGTACCCGACGTGGGATCTTTCAACAATGAGAAAGCTGGAAGGTTAAACTTGTATCAGCAACCTGATGCTGCAGAAAGGATTCGGGATGCTTAGAATGAGATTCATTCCTCTTTTTGGTCGGCGCCTGCTTGGCTCCCTTCAAGGCACCCGGGTGGTTCGGCACACGGACAAACTCTCCAGATATCAACACCATCCTTCCAGCACATAATTATATTTATATACACATATATTAAAGTAATTATGTAATATATTGTAATATAACATATCAAAACATGTATATAAATATATATATATAGACTTGCTTTTTGCACAACAGGGTCGATGCATGCCGATGCATGACAGAAGGCCGACAGCGGGCATTAGCTGTGAATTTCGATTACCTTCCTCTGGTTTGGATTCCTCTCGTTGGCCCTTAGAATCCTGAAAGCACGACCATTAAAGGTCTTCATGGGCGGCAGCTGCTTTCGTTCAGAGTAGAGCTCCATGACATCAAACAATTGATGCCTTGAGAGATTGCGATCAGCTGTTGAAAGGAACCCAGCTTTCATTAAGATGTCCACTATCTTCCTCTCTTGTTTTGCTAATACTCGCCATTGACCTGAATTCGCATGGGAGAGAAATGCCGCTCGCAATTTCTCTTTGACGTTGTTGCTGTTTTCTGAGGGATGGGGTAGCAAGTCCATCGTCATCAAGATTCTTGAGTTCTCCGAAGCGTTTAGAAAGCACAAGGTAGCCTCGGTTTCATCTGCATTGAAATCATCGTCAAGATAGCCTAGCCTTCTTAGTGCCAAGGAAGGCATTCGCGACGAATCTCGCAAAAGAAAGGGGCCACCAGCCCGGAAGATAGCACGAGCAACTTTATTCCCATATGTCTGAATCCCTGTCTTGGTAATGGTACCGCGGGCGGAAAAGGGCAAGAAGTAAGCTAAGTTTCCAAGGTAACGTGCCCAAACGCCCGACGCTGATTGAGCCATGACTTCTTGCACTGCCATTGTTGAAAGCTGTTGTGGAAAAACGGTCAGCGACCCCAGCTCATTGGCAAACCAGAATTTAGCACAAGCTTGAACAAGGAAGTCTTTGGAACCAAGGCTGAAGTCACTGGACGTCTTAGCATATCCCAAGTCTGCCAGAAAGCTCCTCACAACTTCTGACCCGTGAAGATTCTCAAAACCTTCATATGGAGCCGCCAGTTGGACCGAGCCAGTCCCATCGCCATGAAGGGTGGCCCGGACCCTCGAGTGGGTGTCTTTGTTGATGGTCTTCAACTTCAGCACTTCAATACCTTCATCCTGGTATCTTGCAATTAAGGAACCTTTGTCCTCAGGGAGCAGCACGACAAAGCTAGCACTGCCAGTAATTGCACGGAGCTGTGTCAGGGTGTCGATGTAGCCTGCATCGTGAGTCAACAATGCGATACAATCGATGTCCCTACGACGGGACAGCTGGTGCATGGCTTTCACTATGGCTTCATCGTTTGGCTCTCGTGAATGCCTTCGGGATCGAGAAACTGGCCGGAAGCTGATGCTGGGCTCTTGCAGGAATTCAGCCCATCTCTTGTTGTTGGCCCGTCGAGGAGGGGCAAAAATCCGTGTGTGGACTTCCCTCCTCCTTCGCTTCAACGAACTTATTGCGTCTTCAATAAGCTCGATGCCATGACAGTCTGCATCAACCAGAAGCTTCGTCTGAATCCTTGGTGATGCAGCCGTTACCACGCGGGGGCCACGAACACGCCTAATACGCTGGCGCATCGCGCACGCTGCTGGCGAGCCGGCGATGAGGACAGGCAACAAATGGAACTGGGCAAACTCCCTCCCATGGGCCTTCGGGGGCGTGACAACTCGTGTTCGTGCTCTTGGTCCACGGCCATGCGCGCTATGCAGCGCGAAGAAAGCAGACACGAACGTGTCAGCCGCCACATTCATGGAGCGTGAGGTGCCCACAAAATCTCCAACATGCAAGGAGCAAGCTTGAGCCAAAATGGCTACATATGCGTATATATATATATAACATATATATATATAATATACCTGTATATAAATATATACTCTTCCAGTTCATGTTCCAACACACATGATATATCACACTGTATGATCTCACTCATGCCTGCACTGCTTCCAGTATGCCCCAGCATGCTGCCGAGCATGCTGCCTCAGTTCTTTCCTGATCTCATACGGAGAAAACACGAGTTTCCTGCATGAATTCTGTGTTGGCTCTATGGTTTTAACGTGGAGACCGGCTCGAATTGGACAAGACCTCCGAGACCGTCACCGTGTTGGACCCGTCACCGTCCTGCCGCGCGGTCTCCACGAAGGGCGAGGGCGGAGCAACCTGCAATGCTGAGGTTGCTCGGTCATGGAGTCATGGCCGGGCGTTCAGTCGCAAGAAAACCTTGTACAATTACAAGTACCTGTAATTACAATTACAATGATTGAATATGTTCGATTCTCTTAAAACAAACACAGCAAAACTGTGCATCGTGCAGTCCATGGTGGCAGTATCAAGCGTAGCAGCCCAGACCGACCATACTAAGCCCTGGAACGTTTGGTCTCACAATGTGCACTGCAGACTGGTGCAAACTGGATGATTCCAGAAAGAGTGTTTGCCTGCGTCCACAAGACTTAGACTCAGTGAAAGACGACTTCATTGGCCAGCAACATGTCGTTTGCGATGCCAGGTCCGGCCAAGCGGCAGCCAGCTTCGTGCGAAGTAGCTGCTGCAACTGCTCACTATTGCAGCTTCTGACCTGGAGGTCGCCAGGTTGATGGTCAGGTTTGATGTGAAAGTCATCCGTGGATAAATCATGTTTTTAGTACACAAGTTTCGAGAGCTGCTGATTGGTCCGATTAAATAAATTGGGGAGTGGTGCAAGTCCTGCTAGTGCAGCAGGGATCCAGCGGGAGCCCATTAAAGGACTAAAGTCGCAACGCTGTGTTTGTTTAGGCTCAAGTTTTGTAGCATCTTTTATGCAAAAACACATCTGGGCCTATCATATCGTTCCAACGTCGGAATCTGTGGTGATACCTTGATGATGGAGCTGGGTTGGTGGATCTACAGCAGTTTTTCAAGAATCATATTTAATGAAAGAACTCCGAGTACATTGACCATTGCTGGCACTCTTCGGTGCCAATATTAACAAAAAATGGGTCGCAGCCCTCATCGTCCTGCCTCATACCATGGCAAGACCACCACGCTATAGCCTGGTCAAGGGCCACCGGTCCACGATCAGCCACCGGTGGATCGCCCAAGTGCTGGCTACAAACAAATGCACCTGGACCTGTGCACTGACTTCAACACATATTCTGAGGTAGAAAACAGATTTCTGCAACAGATCACTGTGTTCTGCAGCAAAAAGAACACCGTGGGCATGGTACTCCTCCAAGTGGAGGGATAAAACTTTTCGCGGAATCATTTAGACCCCAGAATGGTTTAGGGAACAGGAGCCAACAAAACACTTTTCCACAAAAAGCAACGACCACAATGACGACGATGGCTGCTACTGCTGCTGCTGCTGCTCCTGCTACTGGTACTCCTACTCCTGCTACTAGTGCTGCCACTACTACCACCACCACCACTACTGCCACTAGTACCGCTGCTGCTGCTTCTGCTACTACTACTGCTACTGCTACTGCTATGACGACGACGACGACGGCGACGACGACGACTACGACTACGACTACGACGACTACTACTCCTACTCCTACTCCTCCTGCTGCTGCTACTGCTACTGCTACTGCTACAACTACAACTACGACTACCACCGCCACTACTGCTACTACTACTCCTACTACTACTCCTACTACTTATTCTTATTACTACCACTGGAACTGTTTCTGGGGTAGTATCATTATCGACTCTCACCCAGTTCTTTGCTGGGGAAGGGGGTCGATAACTGAGTTGATATTCAAGACCCAACATGAATCACGTTGGGGCCGGGGCCTCTGGAAAGGTGTTCGACGGAAATTGGACATCTCAAAAGAAAGGACAGACCACCATACCAGCGTCCTCTACTTCTCGCTCACCAGGGTCATCCCTCGGGATCGATTTCATCACAGCGAAAACCCAAACAGTTCGACCTTTGAGAGGAACCGAATTGGGGGTGATGACATGTGATGCGACGGATTTTCTGAGTGATGACCTGTGGAACTCAATTGGTGGTCCTGGAACTTCAGATCCCTCTAGTTTCCACATAAATCAATTGAGTGATGCAAGGTGGTGGGGGGGGGAGAACCCCCTCCGTATACTCGGTACTGTCCAAAGAGCGATGCGACTCTTGCTACTGAAGCAAAACAGCGGTGTCCAAGATCTGTGTTGCGGACACTGCAGGCCTGCAGGCCTCAACCGTGCATATCTACTGGGGAAAGAACTTCCGGAGGAGCCCGTCTTTGTCTGACCAGTGATTCAAGATTGAGGCCCTTCATCCAGCCTAAGCGCCACAGCAATCTTCTCCTCAGAGTTGTTGGTGGAAAACCTCAGTGAGGCAGGCAAACTGGGTTTCAGGAGCCCATTTCAGTCGCTGGGATGAGACAATGAGATCCACCGATCGTTCAACTAGCTGGCAGGCGGTCTCAGTGGTCTCTCTAGACTTAGAAAGGGAAAACCAGGACATTGACAGTGAGCCGACTCGCTGAAACATTTATTGGGACACGCGCGAAAACCGAGCAAACCCCATCTATGCTAGCTCAGGTCATTTCAATTTCAGCACGAGCTGGACAGATTCCTGCTTTGCATGCAATAAAGGTTCCGGGGGGTCCATTTTTGAAAAGAATGGACTTCTGTGACCCTGATGGGGATAAGGGCAATGTGCTTGTGACTCGAGGCCAAGGCTTTCTCGTTACTTTGCGTCATGACAGGGTCAAGATTGAATGCCTTCGGAGGGCACGGCCTAGGAGGCTTGCCAAATACTTACTGATGTTAAAACACACACACACACACACCTTTTCTTACAACTTATAACTGTATTTAAGTAGGCTTCATCAAACCAGATTAAGGTTGCAAATCATTGAGAAAGAATGACACCAAATTCAACCCAGGGGCGGTGGGCATAGCTGGAGTCGATGTCCAAGAGAAAGTCTCCAGGCTGATCCACCTGGCGAACGAAGTGTCGCAAGCAGCAAATTGCAATTGGTCTCGAGCATCTGGATCTTCCTCCACTTTGAAAGATCTCCCTCAATTGCCACTTCCGTGTCAATCCCCAAACTTTCAAGAGCGACAGTCCAGTCCCTGCTGGGCCACGCATGCGCGTCGCGCGCGTCCAGTCCACGGACCAGGTCGGACCACCACGAGCAGCTGATCTTCTGTCCAGCTTGGCATACAAGGAGAAGAGCACCACGTCTACAAAACCCGCCGTTTTGGTCGTGAACATGAACATTGGATCTATAGATTACACTCACTCTCCCTCTCTCTCTATAATTTGTATACATAATATATATTTATATATACACAATTATTGCATATATAAATGTATATTATATATATATACAATCATGAACAGTTTCGGCGGTCAGAACAAATGGGTGGGTCCAAAGAAAGGATGTCGCACCCCTAAAACCTACAGCATTCACCATAGAAACTCGGGTCTTGTGCCACACATCGGACGGTGTCGTTGGTGGAACAGGGTCCCGACAGAAGGCATTTTCCGAAGACCAAACAGGGGGTGAACTCCAAGCATTTCTGATTGTTTCAAGACTAAGAACCCTTACTTTTCAGACTGGTGCGACGAAAACTGATGCATGAGGCAAGTATCCAGCCACCTGAATATTCCCATGCACCAGTCAGTCGCAGCAGTCAGTCTTCTCATCCTCAACGTTCCCTGCCTCAATGGTCACTGTCGTGTGCCTCGAGTGGCGTCTGAGTTGACCCCACGCGGTGGGACGCCGAATTTTCACGACCAGCAACTGAAAGTAACCATGGATCAGGTATCTCCGGGTATCAATAGCTTGGAATGCTATCTCGAGGTATCTCCAGGTATCTCCATGGAATGCTTGGGAGCTTGTCCATCAAGGAAGTATGAACAAAGTAGGACCTATCGCGTGACCTAGTAGGAAGCCCGTCGCTCCATGGTCCCTTGAGGGAAGGGGAACAGCCCAGCTCCCAACAAATCCAGACCAAACGGCCTTGATTTTGGTGTCAATAGCGCATGTAGCACCAAACATATCCAACCAACCAATGATTCCCTGCATGCATGATTTGCTTTGACCATCTTTGACCCCTGTCCTCCTTCAAACCACCACAATCTCAGAATACCAGGTCCGACTTGGTGGGCTTCTACCACAAGACAAGTCATTGAGATTCATCCAGGTGAAGATTCGCAAAAAGGAAACACCAACGTGGCAATGAGTCAACTAAAGCCCCAAACCCTGGCAGGTTGACTATGTCTCGTAGTCTATTCTATTAATTTTGGGTTTTGATCAACGGCCACCTCAAAACTGGCTGAAGGCACCTCATGCTTGGAGATGAGACACAAATGCCCAACGGCAAACCTGGGCACGGTCAACAAAAAGAAACGGACTGAGAGTACTGCGGAGAGTGTCTGGTGTCTGGCTGCTTTTTGCAGCGCTTAGATTGAGAAACCCTTTCAGGAAGTACTTCATCCATGGATGGACATTGACATTGCTCCCTTCATGCTCCGCCTGGAGCAATGAACATAATGACCAATCTGGATTAGCCGTGCTGTAATTACTGTATGAAGGCTCGGCCGACTCGCTGTGTGAAACACAGGCGAGTCGGCCGGCGCCCTGTGAAAGTCCCTCCGGCGCCCAGTGATGAATCCCTCATCATCGTTTGCTGCAGAATCTCCCCAACCCGTCCATCCCAACCCGTCCATCCTCTCTGATTGCGGATCTCCGACTTTACTTTTGTGGTCATCGATCCAAGCTTCTGATGCGTCTGAAATCCGCGCTGAAGCTCCGGGGAATGGTCTGATGTCATATATCATATACGGCTATCTGATATGCACACCGCCCTTGAGGGGTGCCTATTAATAGTCCATTAGACATTGGGGGGTGTTCACTTCATCCACCCCTGCCGCGTCCTGGAAAAGGGCCGTTTCCTGGTATAGGCATGCTCCCTCTAGCTGAACTTCAAAGGCCCCCAGATCGGAAGGTCGTGATCCCAAGAAGAAAGTCGACACGCTCAAAACTTGAAATGGGAATCTCATCCACATCTGGCGGTATTCAGCTTCTATCAATGGTTTCACGTGGTGTCACATGGTGTCACTTCCATCGACCGTCTCACGAAGACCTCCTGTGGATGTGCCTTTTCATCCAAGCTCAAAGACTAGGTTGTCCACCCCTTCACCAGCCGTCCTTTTAGGACCATGGCCTATGGCCTATGGCAGCCCGGTTGTTCAGGCTCGGCGGGCGAAGCTCGGGAAAACTTGGACAGCACTAACCAGTGGATCATGGACCTATGCCCGACCCACTCTACATTGTCTTGGGGTGACCCTGAAGTGGTGCTGTTCACAGCAAACTTCAGCAAACCTGCAAACCTCCGGGGCAAAGTGTCAGTGATAGGACTAAAGGACTCCGAGAACTGTCAGTTCTTGTAAGGTCTGTTTGTGTCATTTGATGCCTAGGCCTTTGGGCAGCAGGCTGCCGGGAAACGGGTACATACAAGTGATCAATTGTGAAGCAAAGGTTGACTTCTACCAGAACCCACTTGTGGGATGGTGGACACCCCTTCACCTCCAAGAGGCTGTTGAAACACCCCAAGGGAAGCTGGGGCCCAACTGCTCCGTCACTTGTGGCCACTTGTGGCCACTTCGCTCCGTTGCGAACGCTAGACCGGAAGCCAAGCGGAGCGGCTGCCAAGGGTCTCATGGAGGACCACCAAACGCAGGAAGTCGATCGCCATCCCTTCAGTCCATGCTTGGACCTGCGGGTCTTCGTAGCACAAGCGCGGCACTTGATTGATCTCCAACAAGTAAGGCCTTTGCTCATCACAAATAAAATCCATGCCCAAAAGCACGGTACACCGCTCTTCCAGCACAGGAGTTACCACTTTCATGATCGATCCCACCGCCCGGCAAATTTGCGGGAACATCAAGGGATAAGCTGGCCAGTCCTCAGGGATGTCAAGACATAGCAAACAGTTGCCCCAACACACTTTGAAAAAAGAAAACAAGCAAACTGGCCTCTCAGGCACACCTCTCAATCCCGGATGCATTGCTTTCAACAACTCCCTCAGAGGGAGCACCGGCATGCGCCGGCATGCGAAGGCGGGCTGACCGGCATCCCTTTGTCCTCGGCAGAAGAGACTGGAGTGATGTGCCCATAGTGTGTGCACTGAGCGGCATTGTCCAAGTGCTTTCCCAGTGCTGCAGCCGCCAGTGCTGCGGGTGCTCGCCGCAAACCCATTCGCCGGTACACGAAGACACGGTGGGGCACGGAGATGCTACAGCCTTCCGGTGTCAAACACACAAAGACTCATTAGAGTGATGTCCCAGTTGACCCAAGATAGGGGACAACAACAACTTGCACAAGAGAGGCGCACCATTGTAACATACAGGTGAATTATGTATAATACTGTAAATGTGATTATTAATGTATACCTAGAACCCGAGTGACCCCTGTTTTGGAGGATCAACTATCTAAAATATTGGGCTTTTCCTATCAAAGAGCAGATCAAAAGGGTTCTACGATGTTCTAGGTATGTTTTGTCAGTAGAGCTTTATCCTGTTAAATAAAAACGATATCAAATCGCCAAAATGATCTGTCCACACATGGACTGCCGACCGTCCGTGGGGCCAAGGCACAAACATAGACCCGTAGATCTTCCTTGAATCCACGTGTTTGTGCCTTCTCTAGGCGAGTCTCGACAGCCTTCTGAATGACGATATGTCCTCCAGTTGGACCGGGTACACGAAAAAGGTGACGTGGCGAGACGTGGCGAGACGCGAGATTGGAGGAATCCGCTTACTTTGGGCTCCCAAATGCAGCAAATGCCGTTGGTGTCTGTGTGTGTATGCGTGCAAAGCCAGTCAGCAAATGCCGTACCAAGCTCTCCCTACCAAGCTCTTCTACATTCATAGGGCAAACAACACAAAAAGCTGAGGTCTCAGAATGAAGTCACTGGGCTCTTGGAAAGATCACTTGGAAGCATAGCAAACGTTTCACAAGAACCATTTACAAGGTCCTTTTCTGCGCTACAAATGTGATAGTCATTCCCTATCATTCCCATATAGCAGCCAGCTCCCCAGACCTCTCCTCCAATCTCCCTGGGCTTGCAGCCTTTGGCTTTTCGTAGCTCGGTGAGTCGTCGCAGGGCCTCCTGTTGCAGCTCAGCCAATTTGCCCTCCAGCTGCACCGACGTCAAGGGCGTCTCGAAGCACAGGATGCCGCAGCCGTAGTCCACGTCTGAAATCTTGAGAAACCACCGGCCATCTGCGCACGAGGAGATGCATCGAACCATCAAGATTTTTCGGCAACAGACTCTCTCGGTGGGTGGCTGTTGGAACAGATCCAATGGATCACAGGGAAAGACACGTCCTGCTGATTTTCTGCAACGGTGGGTTTGTCCTGCCAATTCGCTTGGGTGTTCCATGGTTTTTTGATCTAAGTAGACCTTGACCTATACTAGGTCGAGTGAACTCTCCACCTTCTCAGGTATTGAGAGATCGGATCCAGGGAAACCCAGGCCCTTAAAAGCAATGCATCTATATATACGAAGAAATCCTAAGTTTCAGTCCATGCCCACCCAACAGGATGACTGTTTCATCTGCAATGTTGGTACTGGTCAGGTGTTGTTTTATTTCGCCCAAAGTGCGGAGTGTGAAAGAAACCTTGAATTTGCTCAACTCAGGAGTGGACAGTTATGTTTGCACTTTTTGAGTCCCTTCAACACTTGGAATCCTGTCTAAGTCTAATCGTGCCGCTGCCCATAATTCTCTACCGGGGAACTCCCCCGCTTAACCACGCAAGCTGTCGTGGACCCTTCCAATGTTTCCTCCAGTTCGCCAGCAAAACAAGAGTCGTGGCGCACCTTCCAAATCGCTCTGCCCGGACTGGACAAAGTCTGAAATGCTCAAATAAGTCTCAGGCAAGTATGCAGCTGCAGTGGGCTCTTGCAACAAAGCCTGACCAAGTCAGATTGAGAAGAGAGCAATTCCTGCACACCTTGCTTTTGAACCAATTGGTTTATCTATGCAACACTTAAGGCCTGGAAGTGTTCTTTTTTTTCGTGAATCCCTTGCAACGAGTCTTCAGCGGGTCGGTCTCGATGGCCTTCGCCAGCTCGTGCTTGTCGTGACAGAAGTCCAAGTTCATTCGAACGTGGAAGCGGTTGGAACCAATCTGAAAGCCCCTCCACTGTCTCAGGGTGCAGAACTCAGGCTCCACCTGGGCAACCCAGGTAGGACGCAAGAGAGGTTCTAACCCCATGGGTGGCCCTTTGTTCCATGGATGGCCTAGGATGAGGCCTTTCGGTTTTGGAGACATCTCTGCCGAGGTCAGATGATTTCCTTAAACACCAAAAGGTCAAATCGACCGGTCCAAAACCCTTGGCGGCACCCTATCCCGGCCTCCAGCTTCTGCAAGGCTGCTGCCCAGGTTTCATGTTGGCAGGGTCCCATATTCCACCGGACTTTTGCAAGACGAGGCTGGCTCTTGCTCCGCATTGCCATGGTCTTGAGTGATCCACAGCGAGTTGGCCGCCAGGGTGTGAGTGGGGTGCAGCCAGGGACTGGCTGCGGCCAGATGCCCCAGACCAACTCCTCTTGCGGCATCATCCATCCAATCAAGGCTCGGATGACAAAGTTTTGCGCAAAACTGTGCAGGATTTCTGGGTTCGGAGTTTGCGTGGGACTTGGTGCAAGTGTTTTGCTCCACTCTTTCCACGTCCCAGTCTGGGCTTGAAGTTCGAATTGGTCGCAGGTCGAACGGTCGCGCATTCAGCACGTTCCAGAATTGGTTTAGGGGAACATCTACAGTGAACCCATAGTTTTTGGGTGATTGATTTCCTGTAGATTTTCCCTGAAACCAATCCAATGACAAGGGCAGCCCGGCGTGTCATGGCATGTCACAGTACAAACCTTATCTATTCACAAAACTCACATGGACATGTTCTCAGACATGCATGATTCAAAAACGTTTTTCAGGCCTTTCAGGCGGACCAATTTTTAATGCCATGTTTGGGGAGAGGATCAATTATTGTTCGAATTCCAAATCTGCCTTCTCTGGCTATACTTCAAAAGCAGCCTCCAAAACTGGAGGCTGTTGATACATAGCCCAAAAGTAAACTACCACCCACTTGCTTTGGAGAGCATCCTCTTCAGAGATCGGAGGTTTGCTACTTGGATATTGAAATAGGGAGAAATTCATCCAAACTGCGAGGCAGTGAGGGTGGTCACCCCGTCTTCCCACCCTCACTACGTCACCGGTCTCCCGTAAACGGCCGCCGATGGCCTAAGGGTTGGACCCTCAACCGAGCTATGCCCCAGCAATGGCACCAAATCCATGGCACTGAGAGCTTCAGAAATGGCCTCTGCCTAGGCGCGCTGTTCCGTTGAAGCAAGGAATCAAACAACGGGGTGGGCGACCTGACTTTTGTGGGTTGGCACAACTGATGGAAACCAAACAACGGGGCAAAAGGACGAAGAAGGATTGAGCTTATACGCAATATGTGTCCTTCAAGAAGGGACAAGCTGTGAGTAGACATTTCTCCAGCCAACTCCAACAACGTTGAATAAAGCACGGGAACATCCACGTTTACGATGAAGCGTGATATGTACAAGTAGACAAACAGAATGTGCATGATACTGTTTGGTGGTTTGGCTCCGACAATAGATCCATGTTAAACTAGTGGAGTGCTCCTCCAAAGAGAGTATCCAAAATTACATGGTTTGGCAATGTTTGGCACGTGTGTCACAGGCCCCTATTTGATCCAAAGGTTGCCATAAAAGGATTAACTAATGAACTAGTAGTCTTTTTTTTGGCCAGAATTGTTCCCGCCACCAGCCCTGTCGATTCACAAAGTAGATGAGAACACACAACTCCTTGGTGAACGCAGCTCCATGGTGATTTATAACTAACTTGACTGCAAGTGCACCCCTGCAGACGCCCGTATGGCCCGGTCTGGCAGTCAACGACTGCAGACAAGTCCATCTCAAGGACAGCGATCAAGAACCCGTACAGCTCAACACATCCAAGTGGGAAACCACAACAAACATCCATGAGACACATCGTTTGCAGGCTCGTTTGAAGGTACTTCTTCCTGAACCTGGGATGTTGGACCCCGAAAACTACTGTAACTCCCTCAGTTTCCCTGGAAAATCAAGGTCCACCTTCCACCTGTTCTTGTTTCGTGGGGAAATGACCCTTTCCCCCAAAACAACGACCGGGCAAGTGATCCCTTCGACGAGGGAAGACGGACCGGGACGAGCGATCGCCTGGGCGCGCCCGGCGGGTTCAGACAATGGTTCCTTATCCAGGTTCATCCGCTGCATCAATCCAGCCGCTTCCAGGACATGTTGCCTGGAACGAAGCAAGCAAGCAAGCCAAGCCAAGGCAAGCAAGGCAAGAAAGGCAAGCAAGCAAGCAAGCAATCAGCACGATTGTGTCTTTTCCAAAAGGAAGAACCCTGAATGAATATGGTGTTGTGAGTGGTGTTGTGTAGTAATTTTACATGCTTGTGCATAATGTACCCAAATGTATCCAAATGTCCAAATGTATTAATTTTACTCTTCAATTCAAGAAAGTGTATAATTAATGGGCTGAAACTAAACCACCCAAGTTTCAAGGCCACGCATCCTTCCTTTTCGGGACACAACGGCGATTTGGCCAATGTCGGATGTCACTACAAAAAGCCTCCAAGAAACTGGTCTACATATGTCTACATACAGTGGTTTCAGAGTAGATAACACAATCCCGCAAATAAGCTGGTTGGACCCATCAGTGAAGGGACAGCCCGTCTCAGGTCGTCTCGCCGTTCTTCGCCTCTGTGCCGGCGACAGTCCCTTGCGATTGCGGCCGCCCTCGAGCTGCAAGGCGAGATCCGCCAAGTGAACCTGCGGCGGTCCCCATCAAAAAGTAAAAACACCAGAAGGCTACTATCATTTAGGCCCCACACCCTTTTCTAATTCTCCGCAGCAACTAACTTCGGCTTAGCCTATCGGCTGCATTTCGTAGAATTGCCGTGCCTCTGCGGCTGTAAAGCAATCAGTTGCCCCTAGAAGTCTCTAGAGCTCCACAGAAAGCGATGTTGGTCAACACTTGATAAAACCCAACATACGCCACTGCGAATGAATCGAACATTCACCTACAGTATCATTCCGGCGAATTGTAGCATTCTAGGTTTTGACCCATACTGTGGTCTTTTGAGCTTCTGTTCGTTGATTCTGGAACCCCTGGGAGGCTCCAACAAACAACGGCAGGACCTAAGGGCATCAGCAGTTTTAGGGTGTAGGTTTGGGTTTTCAAGGGAAGCCCGGAATCCTGAAAGTCTCACACAGCAGCGCGGGGCAGGTGCCTGACAAAGAGCAATGAGCTTCCCGCTGGGGATGACGTTACCGTCCTCTACGATGAACTCTTCCTGTTAACCACGGCAGCGAGGCCTCAATGGAAACCTCTGAATTAGACCTCGATACACCACAACCCTTGACAAACTTCCATGGAACCCTAACCATCTAAACCTCTTATCAAATTGAACCACGGAGAAAACACATGATCATATGTGATGTTTACTCATGTCTGCTCTGATCGAAACTCACCTTCCATCAATTTCCACCACACCCGTGACCTGGTCGCTGTCCAGGAACGCATCTCCAAATCTCTCGCTATTTACTGACCAAGCAGCAAAAATCAGCAAAAGACCAAATGTGTGTTCCCATTCCACCCCTGGCCCCTGGTCATTTCTAAATGAACCGAACAAAATAGAACAATTGCTCTTCCAGTGCTTATTGCTCAGTACTTAGAACTAACTTCTCATACTGAGACACACCGCTGAAGAGCGGCCTTTAGTCACCGGGTCGCCGAAACGGCCCGAACTGCGGATCCTTGGGATTCGGCGCCCAGAAGGTCCTGACGAGGAGGCGACGAGGAGGCAGCGATCGGTGAGCGACCTGTTCGGACCAAACTTGTGTAGTGCATTCTTAGCGCCTTTCATTTCAGGTGACGGGTGAGGAAGTGAGGAAGTGATCCACAGTCCAACACCGGATCTTCCGACCGTCTGTCGACGCCGAGGTCGCCACCATGGAGTCTGTTCCAGGACCGAATCGAAGATGGCCTTTCACGCGCCGAACGACTCCGAGCACTACGACCCGAGCCCATCAGGGTGTCAAGCCTAGCTGGACTGGGGAGAGTTTCAGAGAATCGCCAACTGTTGAAGGTGTTTTTTATTGTTTTTTTCACCACTCACGTAGATGTAAATGGATGTCAAACTTGGACAAACTTGGATCAGGATGGTCTACGACTCAACACCTTGAGCGCTCTCCCAGAGGCTGGTGCGATCGCGCCTCGTAACAACTCTGCAAACTGAGACTCCAGAAGATCAAGGCCCTCTCCTCGCGGTCTCCGCGAGGATCATTGTGGTCAAATGGGGAGACTTAGAACAATGTCGGCCCTTGGAACCGAAGCTCCCAAGATGTCCTATTCCGATTTTCCCGAGATTTCCTGATCTTGATCTTCGGAAGGGAGGGCAGTGCCCAATGACACAGGGGTGTTGGGGATCAGCAAACTCGGAACTCGGAACTTCTAGCACCAGTCAACTATAAATAGGCTATCAGTGACTAGCAGCTAGCATAGAACCTGGCCATAGACCACTGGACAGCCTCTCTCCTCACCCGTGGCACAGATGGGTCTACCAGTGGTGTGGGAGCTCTTTTCGATGTAGCGGCGCACCGATGCGCACCGGTGCCACCGACTTCTGCATCTGGGCGACATCGATGTCCCCAATGACAGACCAAATCCATCCCAAGAATCCCATGAGACCCGACCCTTAGCTATTTAGGGCTGAAATGGGTGAATGTAGCTACCGGATGCCACCCAAAATTATATTATATATACTCAAAAGCGAGCTTGCGGCGAAGTCGCGGCGAGGTGCCTTTTCGAAACCTTGTGCCAAGAGCGCTCTGTGCGCGGCGGGGTTCAAGCACAACCTCTCATGAGTGACCGGCTGGACTGCTATGCTGTTTCTCCTTTACAAATTCACACCCCTCCTCAGCCGGAGCACTCACGGGAGATTCTGCCTGCGCAGCCTTTTTTGGCTGTCTTTCGGCGCTGACGACCAGCGCGGATGCCCAGCTTCCGGAGCTTTGCGTCTTCTGATGGCTCAAGCTGCCATCTTCCCTCTTCCATCGCCTGCAGGAGCGGAGTGCGCTCACATCCAGCTTTTGTGAGAACGTCGGCCAGCATTTGTGACGTGTCGCACCAGATGACGTACTGCTCGTCATCCACGTAGGAGCCATAGCCAAGAAGATCTTGTATTTGAGCCACTAGGATCTTCACCCGTTTGTCTGTTGGTTGTCCTGCATCTTTCACGATCGTTGACTCCAGCGATTTGGCGTCCGTGAACGCCAAGAGGATGCCCTTCTTGTACTCCTGGAGGTCCTGGACAGAGGTTCCAGGGAACTTCATCTCCATCAGCAACGAGCGGACATAGTCGCCAGCCTCAGACGCCATGAGAAAGGCGTTGGCCTCTGCCGCAAGTGTTGAGCGGCAGACCCGCTTGATTGACCCAGAGTAGGTCTCAAGCAGCATGATCGGGGCGCTTGCCCCTGACTTGATCTCCTCAGTGGTTAGCACCACTATGTAGCCACACTGGGACTTCATGTTCTGGGAGTTCGCGAAGCTGCTGTCAGCGAAGACGGCGACAATGGTGTTGTCCCAGGTCATTTCCTGGTGCTTCACGAACCTGTACTTGTTGTCGCAGGTGTCCTTGAGCATCTTCACTGCTTTGTTCAGCTCGACCACATCCTTGATGGCGGGACTCGCCATGGTCTGTGAAGCGAGGCTCACGTTGACTTGGAGATCAGGTCGCGTTTGCCTCGTGATCCAGCCAAGGGACCCAATCAGGCCCCTGAAGTCGGTCTTCTCCGCCTCTGTCAATGAGGCGTTTGGCATCTTCCTCCGCTCCTTGTCAACGACCATGTACTCGATGCCCTCAATAGCGTCGTACTGGTCCAGGTCGATGGAGTTGGGGGTGACCTTGACATTCTTACCACAGAAGCGGAAGTCATTCTTGTGGACCTTCAGGTAGAGCTTCACCTCGAGCTCCTTGATCGTGCTCTCAAACTTGTTGCCGGTGCCAGTGCAGAAGAGGTCATCAACATGTGAAGCCATGACACCGATGAGCTTGTTTTCCTCAAACAAGTAAAACAGGGCGGCTTCATACTTTGACATTTGCCATCCAAGTTCTTGTACTGTTTTGAAGAGCTTCTTCCACCAGGATCTGCCTGCATCCTTCGTGCCATAGATGGAGCCTTTGGCACGGAAAAGATCCATTGGCGATACGCCCGGCGGTGGAGGTCGTGGTGGTCGTAGAATGAGAAGCCGGCTGATACCTGAGGATTGAAGGTATGCCGTTGAAGCATCACAAGCCCAGACTGCCCAATCATGTAGGACGGCTACGGAGCAGATCAGGTTGAAGGCCAGGAGACTTGCTGTAGGTGAGTCTGTCCTGATGCTGATGCCATCATGACCTTCTTCTTGGTGGCCTTGGACGACCATTCTTGACTTTGCTTCGAAGGGGAACTCCTTCTTGATTTGGTCGGGAGTCTTCTTGGTGCGCTTGGACATGGCAGCAGCTAGGAGACGTGGTCTTGTTCTTGTCGGTGTGCACCCACCGCGTGCCGACGATCCACTGCTCCAAATTTCTGCCAAGACGCCCATTCCTTGGCCATGGAGGCGTCGAAGAGTGCACGATCTGACTCGGAGAGCTTGTATATGTCAATCTCCCCGCGAGCAGCTGCCTTGCCAGTGAGGAAGGCGTCATGGCCCATTTCTTCAATCTTTGGGTTGTGGGCCAGGAAGCTGGTGCATCATCTTCGAGCTGCGAAACTTCAGAATCAGACTGGATCTCTGCCAGCCTTTTGAGCTTTGATTGGAGCACCTTGTCATTCATGTCCGGGAAAACTTCAGCAGGACCTTCAGTGAAGTAAGGCCCAGGGATGGTGCCAGACCTGTTATGATGTCGGGCTGGTCCATCGCCATACGGTGGTAGTCCATCAAGTCGGTCAGGCGTTCTAAGTGCCTGATGTAGTTGACCTTGGCCCGGATGGCTCACATGTACAGGAGGAGTGACTGGGACATAGGCAAAGGGTCCGGCTGATGATGGTGCTCCATGATGTTGTTCTGGACCACTTGACGGCTGCCCTTGCTCTTGTTCTGGTTCTCCTGTGGTACGGTGAGCTTTGGTCGGAGAGACCGGATCATCCTTCCCATCTGGTTCATCATGGGATCGCTTGATTCCTCCGCCAAGTGGTAGCGGAGAGAGATTCCCAGCAGCAGCTGGGGGAGGCCCGTCAGGCTGGTCATGTAGTTCATCTGGCGCCGGAACATCACCTTTCTGTTCTTCAGCAGGAAGATCTGGTACTGCAAGGGCGTAAGGACGAAGGTCCACATAGTTTCTGGCTCCCTTGGTGAACTCTGGCTCGATGATGTGCTGAGGGATGGCGTGAACTGCCACAAGCTCATCTTCACTTGCAAACCTGAGTTGTTCACCAGTAGTCAGGATGACGGAGGAACCATATCTGAGCCAGTATGAATGTGGTTGGTGACCTTCAGTAGTTGGCTCTTCATCATCAGCCATGCGTCTGGGGTTTCTGACTTCTACCCCAATGACCCGAGCAGGACCATTCCATTTGAAGCCTCGTTCATCGGCACCTTGTTGTCGAAGGAAGTAGACATATGCACCGATGGGGAAAGGGCCTCTTGTAGGTGTTGACTGGTGGAGAAGAGCACGCCGGACGCGGCTGTCTGTATCCAGTCTGACTTGAGCGACACGGGCAGCTTCTCTGATCGAGAGGTTCTTGGCCATAGCGGACTGAGGATCTTCTGCTGCCTCGATGAGATCGAGTCGCTCTTGATCTTGTTCCAGCATCAGGGATCCGGGGATCCGGACTTCGGGCATGCCAAGTACCCACTGGTTCGGGGCATAGCCATTGCACGAGGATGTGCATTTCTGATCTGTGTGGCGGTGGTGGTCGCGGTGATCATGTCTTGTAGACCTTGGATCTGACTTTCTTGGACCACTTTGGTCATGAGCTGCTTCCAAAGACCGCCAGCACGTTCAACTTGGCCTTGTTTCCATGGTGCCTCGAGCGGCATGGCCTCTTGCTCGACTCCAAATTGTTTCAGGTAGTCGGCGAAGCTGGCAAGAAACTCTCTTCCACGATCAACTTGAATAGACTTTGGAAGTCCCGCCCAAGAGCTCCAGCTCGTGAGAAAGTGCCTGAGGACCGCCTTTGAAGCTGGTGGTCCCTTTGATTCTCCAAGGCATGACACCACTTGGAACCCAGTGGACTGGTCCAGGATGTTGAGAAAGGAAAACTGAATGCTGGAGACATCACGGGCATAGAAAACATCGAGCAGGATCCGGTGGTCATTGAAGACATAGCGACCTGGTAGTCGGACAGGTTTGGGTCGACGTCGAGTGATGCTCTCGCCACAAGTGTCACAAGTCATTTGAGAAGCAGCACGGATGGCTTCTGGCTTGGCGTTCTGCCGTCGGAGGATCCTCATCATCGTGTTGCAGGTGGGGTGACCAAAGTTCACATGCAAGGTTCTCAGGACCTTACGGAGATCTGGATCCACTTGAAGCCATTCTTGACGGCGCTGAGCCTCAGGTCTGCTGAGGATTGGATCAAGCCCAGCGGCAACATGTTCACGGAGTTCTTGGTCTTGAAGAGGTTGGTCATCATAGACTTGATCCTCAGGGCCTTCTTGTACGTGAGGTTGTTCTAATTGAGAAGGTCGCAAGTAGACCGGTGGGGCGCCGAATTGATTTGCCAGAATTGCCACGCGACCCCTCCTTTGCCGTCGAGGTCGGCGAGGAGGTTGAAGATCAGCAGGGTAGGCCTCTTGGACATTCTTGTAGGCATTCTTCTCAATCTCGGCCTGCTGGATCATGGTCATGAGGACCAGGTTGTTTAGCTGAGTAGGCCAAACTGAAGCCTGAGCTGTTCGTGACCCAAAGCAATTGCTGCCTTCTAGAACTTCATGTCGGTGGCGGTGATCACAACGGCAATTGCTGAAGATGCTTTCGGCTGCGATCATGCTGGTGATGTAGTAGCTGGGCTTCTTGTGTGGGAGCTTGGACTCGGCATCACGATACCCAACCATGCAGCCATCCACGATGATCATGACCAGCTTGCCATCATCGAGCATCTTCTTCACATCACTCATCTCTGGTTCATCCAGGCTCTGTGAACCATAGGGCTGCTCCAAGAAGACATGGCGGTGAGCATTGATGCGGTCCTTGACCGTCTTGTTGACCGCACGAAGAACGGAGCGTCCTTGTTCTCGTAGAGACTCAACTGTTTCAGCGGCAGCTCCACCTTTGGCGAGGTTGAACCTTGACCAGTTGCCCCATGGGCCGCAAGGATGGGTGATCACGGTCACATAGGGGTCCTCAAGGAGGAGGTCATGATGTAGGTGCCTCTTACCAGCACTGGTGGATGCATCCCATGTAGAAGAGCTTGAGTCAAGAGGGACTCCGACTTGCATGCCGAGGAAGACTGCCATGAGCGTCAATCCCATCTGACCGGCAAAGATCTGCTTGAGCCACTTCTTGCCAACAGGTGGATGCTTGGAGACTCGTGCCGGTTGACCATGAAGGGTTCGACGATGAAGGAAGTCATCTCCATCCAGTGAGCGGCACATGTCTTCAAGCTTCTTTCCTTTCTTGTTGGTGGTCTTGCGGATGCAGCAATGTTTGGACGCAAAATCAGCGAAGAGAGTCTCATTCTCACAAACGGCGGCCTGATCCTCAGGGATCTGTTGTTGTGAAAAAGGTCGGCCGGTGAGAGGATCAATGCCAGGACATCGTCGCGCCACATAGCCAGGTCGTCCTGCATGTCGTAGTAGTCATCGGGATTCATGCCGCCAAAATCATTGGTGTACTCGGCGGGGTCGATCTCTTCAAGCCAATTCTTGAAAGGGTCAGACTCGTCTCGGGCTTGAGCAGCAGGATCATAAGAAAGACCTGGTGGCGCAGCTGTTGACTTGAGCGATGCTTGGATGGTCTCTTCATCTTCGCTTTCAAACTCATCCATCTTGGAGCTGTCGAAGTCGAGGAGGTTCAAAGCCAAATGTCCTCGGGAGGTCTTGAGCAGTGGCTTATCATAGATGCCAAGCGTGGTGAAGGACACAGTTTGATTGCCCAGGTTGATCACAGCGCCCAGCTCTTCCATGAAAGGACGGCTTATCAGCATCGGAGTGTTGCCAGGCGTCTCAGCGCTGTGGACCTCTCCGTGTACACCATAGATGCCGACCGGGAAGATGCGGACGTGCTTCGACTGGATCTTGCCCCCAATGCCTCTGAACATTTGGTCTTTGCTTCGTTTTGCAGAGCTCAAACCATTGGCAAGAAGACCTTGTTCCATTTGATCCGCCCAATCCTTGCCGTGCATAGTTCGGGCGCAACCAGAATCAAGGATTGCTAAGCCAGGTGGATCATCGGCAGACAGGGCATAGCTCTCCTCCTCGGGCGACACGGTCATCATGACCTCACATTCATGCAGGTGCACTGAGTTGGGATCATCGATGTCATACTGGATGGGAGCCCAAAGCTTTCTGACAGGTTCCATAGGGCTCTTGTCGATCTCGCGCTTGCCTTTGGACTCGCCCTCTTCCTTTGAAGGTTTGGTGATTCTTTCAGCTGAAGCGCGCACTAGGCGCAGGCGGCCATAGAGGTAGAAGGCAAAGCGGAAGATCTCTGGTGACATCGGTTCATTGGCAAGAGCATGAGTCATCACCTGCTTGCAGTAGTGTTCGGCCTGCGGGTCAGAGGAGACGACATCGAAGCGATGACCCTGAAACGGGCTTCCATCATTGATCAACTCACAATCGCTTGGTAGAGGTTGGAGGATGTCCATGTCCTCGGATGGAAGATCAGGGAAGTCTGGTAGATCTTGATCAGGACTGATCAGCACACCATAGAGCCATACACGCTGTCTTGAGGCTCGCGCAATTCGTGCCGTTGGTGGGTGCTTGGATGATGAAGAGGGTCCTGAAGCGACCGGAGACGGTGTAGAGTTCCCTGAGTGGACCACATCCCAACCATCAGGAGTCGTGCTTGCTATGGAAAGGTTCTTGATACAAAAAAAATAACTTTGGTCCCGGAGCGTCCTGGGCCTTCGCGCTTTCGACGGTGCTGCTGCTGCGACTGCACCTCAAAGTGCATTGCGCACTGCCACAAGGTTACAGCTGCTTTTCAGTAGTGTCGTAGACTGGTTGGGAAGACCAGAAACCTCATATCCTTATACCTTGCGGAGTTCTATATATGCTGCTTGACATGCAAGCACTGGTGGCATAAAGGCACCGGAAACACGTGGCTTCGAAAACATGGCCGAGATGCTCACGCAAAAGGTCCATCGCGAGAGGGATCAGAGCATTCTGCCCCATCTCTGGGAAGTGAATCGTTGCAACTCTCATCTTAGAACGCCAAGCTTTCCAACACACGCGCGCGCCGAGCTGCAGCCGAAAGGTGTGGAAAGTAGCTCTTTGTGTAGTCAGTTCGGGAAACATATCCCATAGGTTTTGTGCATGCGTGTTGCTGGCTCAAGTGTGCAGCAGAAACGGCTCTACAGTTCTGTCACCAAACATTTCTGCTATCAGACGTCCAGAAGACATCATCCGTTCACCCACAATCTGGTGCCAAACACGAACCTCATTACGACAAGGTTCACCACACGCTGAATCTGAGCTGCCTGCGGGGTCATACCTCCAGCATGTGTCCCTGACTCCTAGTAGCGTGGCGCCTTCCCTTGAGCCAGTGGTTGCAACAGCGACTGCGGGGATATTCCGAAGTTTGACACAGGTGTTGTGTAGTAGTCATACCACTAGTCATACACTATAGGAGTTCAGGAAAGCTATGTCTGACCTTTTTTGGATGACTCGAATCCAAGAAGTTCCTGACAGCTCACTGTTTGACTGGCAAGTGACAAGTGCTACAAACAGGATCAAGTAGGATAAGTAGGTCGGTATGTCACACAATTTTCCCACCCAAAAGTTCAGCCAACCCCACCAATGCCCATGACCCCCCCTGCTCCGGTCGCCATGCTTTTCGCGCGGCGGTGGTCCCCCGCCGTCTCCGCCGCGAACCGCGACTCCGCGCCTGCCGATGAACACGTTGAAGCCGGCACTGGTGTAGTATGGCCCCTGCGACACGGGCTCGCTGTTGCCGGCGTTGAAGCGCAAAGGCACTGTAGGCTTCATCCCAACCCTCCCTGCGCGGTGGGCGTCGGGCGTAGCAGTATGGCACCACAGTTTCAGACATGGAAGTCGGTGGATTTCCCTTTGGAATCCAAAAAGGAAGGGTGAGTCACAAGAACCCCTAGTAGCGTCCAACCGCTCCAGCCTGGGAGACAAATGAAAAGAACCGGGAGACACATGAAAAGAAGTGGGAGACAATGAAAGGAAGTGGGAGACAAATGTAAAGAAGTGGGAAACAAATGAAAGGAAGTGGGAGACAAGCGAGCCGGAACCCGACCACATAGATCTTGAGAAGTGTTCAAGCAACTCATCGCTCTGTCAAGCAACTCATAGGAGTCGTTGTATGAGTCGTTTCGAGGTGTCGTTTCGAGGTTTGAGTTTCGCCGTGGAAATCACCGAGGTGCCCTGTGTGGATCCTCATAGAAATCCACGCCATTGGGATCATCGAAATGCAACCTACAAGGCTTGGCAATTCCATGCATTTCCCAGAAACAATACACAAAGCGTGGCTCCGCTAACCATCAAAAGCGAGCTTGCGGCGAAGTCGCGGCGAGGTGCCTTTTCGAAACCTTGTGCCAAGAGCGCTCTGTGCGCGGCGGGGTTCAAGCACAACCTCTCATGCGTGACCGGCTGGACTGCTATGCTGTTTCTCCTTTACAAATTCACATATACTTTTTGTATCTTTTTGTTTTATTTGGCCTTCGCCTCTCTCCCCGGGTCCGGCCACCTCCCCCAGCACTCCTCCGGAAGCAGCTCGACCGCACGGGGCGCCGCCGCGCGCGAGAGCGCTTTCAGCGCGGAGATCACGGGCTCCACCTCGAGCGTTGGAGGACGCAAGAACAATGGCCGGATGAGCCTAGCAGTTGACTGCGTCTTTCCCCAAGCTATGAGCCCAGCAGTTGACTGAGCAGTTGATGAGCCCAGCAGTTGACTGACTCCCTTCACCCAAGAAAAATGAAGGATCATTGGCCGGAGTTCATCAGAGTTCATCACCCGCCAAAAAGAAGGAATTGGCCTTTTTAGGGAGTTCATCTAGGGTGGTTTCGGGGTGGTTGGTTGAGGTTGGTTTCACCACGAACAGTTCTGAGAGGTACGCGGATCCAGATCTAGGGCGGTATAGGTGAGTGTGAATCAGTGAGTCTGTCACTGGAGTACAGGTGAAAAACCTGGAACAAATCAAATCTGAGCTGGCCAAACGACGGATCAAGGATGGCCATCATGTCGACGATTGGATCGTCAGCACAATGTGCGAGCGAAAGGGATGGCAGGTTGAAGAGTCTCATGTGATTGAGCATCAACATGTATCAACACAACCTTTCGATTCTGAGGAACATGCTATATATAAAAGTCTATCTGATAAACTGCAGTCGATCGAAGCAATACAACATCATATTCAACCTACCAGCTGCTTCCAAGGGGTCACCAATGGATATCTCCACACTACTTACAGGTCTCCAGACAGGGCACCCCGACAGGAAGCGCTAGGTACATTTGTCGTCCAAACAGTCTTGCATTCTCATGCACTGGTCAAATGATCGATCTGCCGTTCGTGCAGGTACCGCTTCTGATCTCAGCTGTTGGATTCCTTCCGAATGGCACCCCGCCCGAACTCATTCGTCGCTTTCACTCGCTGTTTCAAACCGTGTGATCGCTTGCTGTTGGAAAACGGCCTGGACGGCGATGGCGAGGCCAGCAATGCAGCGTGCCATGACCCAGGCCTGGGAGCTGGCAGCTGGTGGAGCTGAATTAGGCCACAGAGATCTTGGGAATCGCCACAGACCGTTCACATGACCAAACCCAAAAAAAACAACACACACCACATCACACCACACACATGTTGGGCCATCCTGGATCATCATGATGATGCCAAGTGTCCACTGATTTCGGGAGGTATCCATCGCATGTTCATATAGCAGCATATCCCAGAGGATCCATCGAAGTAAATATGACCTACATGAAAACCACCCAAAACCACCAGGCCAAGGCGACATGCTTCGGTGCGCCACCATGGATCATCTGGGGGCATCAGTGCTTCGGTGCTTCAGGTGGCTTGCGCCGATGCTTCGGTGCGTGCAGATGCAGCTGGCGACCGATGCAGAACGATCCCAGGCGGTCGTGACCCCGGTCTTCCCCCCCGGTCTTCCACACTCTGATCTTCTAACCCTTCCACAGCTACTATCCAAAATGCACGTTGCAAAGATCTGCAACTGATCTTTCAAGACAACCGCAAAGAAAAGAAAGACATTGCTAATACCTTCGCTCTTCAGCCATCGGATGATATCAGATGTCCACCACTGTTCACCACATGGGAAAACGGAGTTCTTCGAGTTATGAGGACAGTACAACCCAAATTGGTGCTTTCAACTCTGGAAAACTCTCAAAAATTGACTGTCTGTCGAAATTCCAAAGCTTTCCGCCCGACCTGGCCCACATCCTCAGGGCTGAACTGGCACCTTCGTCTTCCCATGTTCCGCCTCCGTGAGAGCCTCCAGCACCTCACAGCCGCCGACTCACCCGGAGAAAGCCCCCAAGCTGACGCGCGAGCGACGCGAGCGACGTCTTCAGTCAGTCTTTCTCCACACCCCGCCTTTTCGGAGATCGCGCGTGCCAAGCCAGAGGCCAGCAACCTGGCGGTCAAGCCGGGGGGTGGAGCAACCCAACCCGTGGAACACGGTGTGACCTCATTCTCGACTCCAGTGACGTAGTGATATTCCTTGTCCATGGTCGAAAACATGTACTATCAAGAGAGGTTAAGTGACCTGAACTAGGACCCTACTGGGGTACCTATGGGACAGGCTATAGGGTCCTTGTTGGTATCTACAAGGTCAGCTTTGAATCTTCACTTGGCCAAGCCCTCACAGTTTTCGTGTGGACTGAGGCTCCCCACCCAGCAGTGGCCAAGAAGCGTAGCAGCTCAGCAGCGGGCACCAAACGTTTCTCTGGGATCACCTGGGAAACCAAGCTACAAGGCCACTGCTGACTTAGCCAAAGCGTCCACCAGCAGTGCAAAAATCGAGGTTCAAAATCCACAATGATGGTCATGAGTCATGAGTATCAACATCTACTGCAAATGGCCTTGCTACAGGACCATGTGAGTAACTGTAATTATAATACATAACTATAATCCATATATATATATATAAATGATACATATCATAATTATACAAAATTATACAAAATTATACATATATATATATTTATATATGAGCTGAATTGAAACATAGGTTCATGACATACAACCTCCCGCCACTCCGTTCTTACTCCCACCCATTCTCTGTGCTGTAGTTCGGCGCTCTTTTTCTCTCGACCGCTCCTTCCAACTCACGTCGCGACCGCACCAGATCTCCGTCGACGTCAAAGCTGGCGGATCTTGCGGCGGCGCAAGTGGCCCTTGGCCTTGGTACTGATCACCCGGGTGCCAACGCCCAGGCCCTCCAGCAGCCATGGTGCTGAGTAAGGCTGCCTCAAGAAGGATAGCAATCAGGTTGACGACCGTTTTTGGTGGAGCATGCCCTTCCATGTTCTTGGAGTGACTACTGGAAAACTGACTATCTTCACTTGTCACATCTTCTCAGCGACATGCATCGATTACGTGGAGAGAAAACTTGAAATATGCGTGGATGTTTTGCCAACAACCTCTAGTGTGTGTTCAGACCAAAAGCGGGACCTGCCCATGTCGACCGTTGAAGAGGACACTTGCATGGCTCAACAAATCTCAACAACCTATCCAGGATATCATATCTGCCGACATCTCAAAACCATGAAGAACTCATTCAACTCAGCTCAGTTGCAGTGGCGAAACTCGTTGATCTCCCAACTGTAAGTTCTTTGTGGTGTTGGGTTCCCAGGTGACTTCTCCACGCAGGAGCAAATTCACCTGTTTCAGCTTTGCTGCAGAAATGTTGGCATAAACCACCAGCTCGCCTGGCGAAAAAGGTGCTTTTTCACTGTGGCCAGGACGACGGGTTTCAGAATCCACTTTTTCATCCACTTATATAGTACCCCTTTGGGGGGGTAAACACATGTCCGGACCTGAGAAGTAGAAGCAAGCTCCTATCATGTTGTGAAGCGCATGTGGCCGTGTCGACACGACCACCCCCCTGACTGGTGTTTGGGTGGACTGGATATTCTGCGAACCGCAGTCTCTCCCACCTGTCTTGAAGTTGAAGGAATGGATAAAGGCATAGGCCAGGAACTTGATTGGCGCTTCATGTGGCTCAAAGATCTCAAGCTCTGCTGGTGCCTTCGCCACGGCCCGACTGTTGGGTTCCCAAGCGTCATAGCATAAGGCCACCACGGCGCCCGTCAAGGCAGCCTCCACCTCGCTGGGCAGCAAGTGCCCAGCAAAAAGCCCAAAACGAAAGCGCGTCAGTGGAAGGTGCCACCTCACATCAGCGGAGGCTTGTTCCATTGATGTGCAGGTGTAGTGTGTGAAGATCGCTGAAAGCCAGGCTGAGTGAGAAGTATTTTTTCAGATCATTTCAAAATATCTGAATTGATCGGACAGTAAGAACTAGAAAAGTGGCAGGTCGCTGCTGTCCAGCCACCTGGGTACATCCGAGAAGAAATCCTGGATTGCCATGGCCTCAGCGTAACGGCAAGGGTCCAGGCTCGGTTTGAAATGAGCAGCCATGCGAAGCCATCGCAACTGCACAGCAGTAGGAGAGTGGCTATGGCCTCGCGATGGGAAAGGCCAACAACCAGAGAGTGGCATAGGCTGTGCTGTTGATTGACTTCCTTGAAACATGAACAAACAAATGATGAGAAAGAAATATTAGATCAAAAACAAAAACGCCTAAAAAACAGGTCTTTGGAGACTCAAGATTGTTGCATACATTTTGAGCTGTTCACTGAGTCGCGACGACTGCCGAATACTGCCTCGCACGACCGACCGACTCGCGAACTGCAGTTCGAGTCGCGTGGGACGGCTGACTCGATGTCCACCAACACCAACTCTTTCTCTGGGGTCAACAAGGGCTCTCCATCAGGCCCCCGTTGGTGTCTCGCCAGTGCTCGGGCGAGTGGTCCACAGCGGGAGAGAGAACTTCCTTGGGCCAGTTCAAGTGGACATACATGTGCCTACAGTCGGTACCAGGTGCAGAAGCACCAAGGAAACACAGGGTAAACATCTCATGCAAGTAAACAAGGAGCTCCTCATCGATAGCCGCTAGCCAGAAAAAGAAGTCCGGCTCATGTGGGTGTCGGACCTAAGAGTGGGACCGAACATGGACCAATGGTGTCTTTATGGTCTGAATGAGAGGCCAACGGTCAATTTTCAAGAGATAAAGCAACAAAAAATAACAAACATCTCCTTCGCTGCAAAAGCTTCTCCTCGCAAACCGTTTCGCTGCTTCCGCCGTTCCGCGCGGTGCACGCGGGGAGGTGGTCTGCAAACGAAGGACCAGCTGGGCACCCACGGTGGCAACAATCTGCTGAAGCATTTCGAGGCCCAGGCCTCACCGGTGACCGCGTTCGCATGCGTTCGCATGGTGCCACACAGGTGGATCAACCACCTTTGTTGGCGAGAAAGGACCGGGTCACCAAGTATTTCTTTTTGGGCCCAACAAAGGCTGCCAGTTGGAGACACCAGTTGGAGACTGAAAGCACAGACTGTCTTCAGTTTGTCTTCACGACGGTCACGTCGTTCTTCGGTCGTTCCATGACGCGTAGGCTCAAAGCTCCCTGGCCCCAAGTGGCTTTGTCCACAAATGGAGTCCCCGAGACTCGGAATCGGCTACGTCGCAGGGGGTTCTCTTCCAATGTCGGAACAAGCCTCGTGGTGTGCGACATGTCATAGATTATATACACGGTCTCTGCTCCCGAGTTAGAGCACTCCTAAACTAAACCAAAGAGCATGTTGCGATTGGATAAGTCATCCGTGATCAATATAGCTGTCCTTTGCTCCTTAACTTCTGCTTTCATGGCTTATTCTTAAAAGCTGTCATACAGTGGACCCAACCCAAGCAGCTTGCCTGTGACCCAGCCATGAGAATTCACCATCAACGGTGGAGGTCTCACCTGACCCTTGATGATCTCCTGAGAGGAGGGAACTGCTTCGCTGTTTCTCTCACCCCAGTGGAAAGGACCCAAAAACTTCCAAACCGTCCCTGTGAAAAAGAACCTATATAGTATACATATCTAAGATCGTCCAACATTGACATATATCGTCCATAGTATCTAAAATCTACTGTATCGCTCCTTTACTGAAGTAAAACGAATGACCAACCCCTTTCTGGGTCAAGTTCAGTCCGGCAAGAACAATAAAACACAATCAATGCCTCACGAACAGAAAGAACAACAAAGCACTCAATCCAACCAGGTTTCGCAATAAGCTTCAAAGGCCTTGGCCACTGAGGCGGTATAGAGAGCTGGATGACTCTGTGGTGTGGCAGCGCCAGCGAAGAAGGCCTCACAACGTTCATGCAGCTGCTGCTCCGCATGAGGCACCTGAATGGACGCTCAGGGCTTGCGCAGGGGCGCCTCCCCAGCAAAGCTTGGAGATTAAGAGGACCTCCCCCTATCCTTCAGACCGGAGGGAGTGTATCTTCAGACCCTCCCAAATGGTTCGGTGGGTCTTGCGGTTGCGGCCAAAAGCCTCCGAACCAATGTCTCACATTGAAAGATCCAAGATCAGCTGAACATCGAAACACCGGGGCTGAAATGGTGAACAATACATCGTGGAACAAATCCTTCCCCCTGCCAAGTACTGTGGGAAGTTTTCTTTTCCCCACACAAGAAACGATCTTAGTAACGCTCATGTGTTTCATCATCTGCGTAAATTTTCAAAGTTAATGTCCGAGGGAATCGGTGAAAAGCGGATCTTCTTGGTAAGTTAGGGCCACTAGTCGGACAGTTCATCGTACCACTTCAGCAGGAAAAGCGTGTTCTCATCTTTTTGTATGAAAAGTTAGTTGAAAAACTATGGGTCAGCCACGGATCCAATTAAGTGGCAGGTATGGGACAGTCACGTGACACCCGCGTGTTGATGCTGTACAACACTCAAACAGCTTTGAAGGGAAGGAACTCGACCGCAAAGAGTCTCTTGGAGAATTCCAGAAAGGATTTGCAGTCTGGAAGCTTTAAGAAGAACTCTATATATATATATATCTGTTCTATTCTTTTCTAGACAGGCTAAGTACATCATGAGTACATATTGAGTACTCAGTACTTCAACCGAACAGATCCACTCTCCTCCATCAAACATCTTCAACGAAGGCAACACCTGAACGGCGGGCGGGGCGCCGTTTCGCGACTTCGCGGTACGTCCCACCTGCAGCAAGGGGTCCTTGATCCGGTGCAGAGTGACCACTCCCGGTGGTCCCAGCTCCGGTTGACCCAGGTCCGTTTCTAAGAAATAGACCTGACCGGCTCCGGAGCGACGAGTGGATGGGGAGGGGGGTGGGGGGATGAGGCAGGCTCGTTGGGAGGGAGACCGAAAATCACCCAGCGTGGTGAAACTCCGGGCGAAGTTGAAGTGAGATGAAAGAAGAAAATCAAGTCAACCTAATGTACACGACTGCTGAAAAGCAAGCTCTGCACCATCAACCTTGGAAACCTACTCTTGGGGGATTCAAACGGCTTGGTGTTCATCAAAGTGAGGTTTCAAGGATGTTTTCCAGCTGATCCTGTAGTTTAAAAACATGCTTGTGCTGGTCTCTTTTATTGATCGGGATACTTTGATGTTCTTTGGTTCTTTGTACATCCCTTCGGGAGATTCGTGCACAGCACCTGAAAGTCTGAAAGTAAAGCTCATTTGTCATGGCTCATTTGTCAACTTGCTTCACCCAATTGGAAAGTCAAGAGCATGGCTACTCCTGGACCATAAGTCCACACACCAGTCAGTCATCGACCATCTGTTCGTCTGTTCTTTCTTCTTCGCCCATGGGCTTCTGGAACTTGCAAGAGGAGCCGGTTCACCAGGAAGCGGCAGCACGTGGACTTTCCCACTCCCTTCGCACCCATCACCAGTAACACCGCAGGGTTTTCGTGACTGGAGCCACGGATACACTGTTCCACCTGGGCACGGGAAAATTGCACCGGTGGGCCTTTCTCGAACAAACATAGACAAACAAAAAAGAACAACCTCCTGAGTCAAAAGGCATCGTTGTGTCTAGATTTCTTGGAATTACTGATAATTACTGAATAATTACTGCATAGATGTGTCTGATGAATAAATCCACTCTTAAACCAGGGGTGGTCGGGTAGTATTGAGGTTGATCGTGGGGGAAGGGCGCATCGTGCCACAAACCTCCTCATAATGATAATTCAAAGACCGCTTCACACGACCTCTCTGTAGAACTGATGAAAGGGTCATGATGTTGTTCCAATTTGTCCTCGCCCTTTCCAAAACAACCAAATCCAAATACACCAAAATTAATCACTCATTTGAAACATTAAGATATCCTTAGTTTAAACTCACTCACCCACGATTCTCCACACTGAACTCACTCTCCGATCCACGAAGTGCTGCACGATCTTCGGCCATGCACGATGCGCTCGGAGGCGATGCCGCGCTTCAGGCGATGCGAGCGCCTCTCGAAGGCGTTGAAGCTCGGTGATGCGAGGCGCGGCGGTACTCGCAGCGTCCACCGCGCGGGGTGCGCGGAGGCAAAGGACCACTGGCCACTTGCGGGCCTCCAGAAAGGAGCCTGGTGTGGTGATGAGTGGATGGAAAAAGTGTTGAACATGGGAGTCTTTAGGATTAAAAAAAACTATCACGGGTTCAATGTAGACTCTTGATTATATTTCACCCCCCATATGAAGATAGATGATGGGTTGTACAATCCAAATGGGGGGGTTGTTAATCAAAAGTCTATATAGAAATTGAACCTATTCCCCTCCACGGCGCGAATCTCTGCCGGCTCAGACGTTGCCACGTCTTCGTCAGCTCCGCGCAAAGCCAGAAGTCGGGGCGTCGGAGACCAGGGAGGCACCACGATGCGTCGAAACTCCTGGGCGCCGCGCGGACCGTCCGCGCGGACGACGCGGATGCGACGGGATCAAAAGACGCCGATGCGACGGCCACAGGTTGATGATGTCGATAGGTACGCTACTGGATGTGCTTCATCCGGAAGACAGTCTGGTATGCTGGATGTCCATGGTCTCCTCAAGAAACAACACGATATCGGTTCTGAAAGAACAACAATTGAAGCTGCAGCCTCCTGTTTACTCTATCTACCTGGCTACCCCATGTTGAGCACTTTAGAAGCTTCATTTGGAAGCGTATCAAGATGATAGGGGGACCTCCCAGATCAAACTCCTTCATAGACCAGTCTAGGACCATAGACTACTAGACCAGTCTACCCATTGGTTGGCTGTCTCCGAAATACGCACAACCATCCACCACCACCTTTCCCCTCGCTGTCTCCGACCGGCAGTCCGAGACTCGTTGGAGAGCCTGGACCCCCAGACCTCCGCCGCGCCGCGCAGCACGCGGAGATGGAGGGTGCCGCTCAAGGCCACTTCCTCGCCAATGCGTAGCGGGAGCAAGACGTGGTCGCCAGCCACCTGGGGACGATGGCAAGGGGGATGGAAGAGGACTGTTGGAATGTCTTGAACAAAAAAAGGATACTGTTCTGTTGTTTCGCTGTGTGTTTTGGTTGCATTGTTTTTTTGGTTTGCTGGTTTCTCCAACAGGTCATGCGATGAAAAGGAAAGGCGGCCGCCTCGAGTCGTTTGATGATCCGCTGGGAGCGGCCCTGCTTTCTTTTGCACCAGTCCTTGTGGCTCATGGTATTTGCAAAGGTCGAACTTCAGGATCCATTGGTCAACGCGACTGGAAAACACCGGCTGCGTGGGACTTGGATGATGACTGGTGATCGCCCGGCTTCCCATGCTTCACATGGGTTCAGGGGATGTGGCAACGTCCCAAAAGGGCTCGCTGTGTTGCGGAACAAAGGATTCTTCTGTTGACAGGAACCTTGGCCAGGACAACACACCAATTCCCAGAGGGGTTACGTCGGACACAACATCCTTCTCCTTATGATGTTTAAGGGGGATGATGCAGGAAGATGTTATGACCTTCCTTCCATGGATTTTGTCCTCAGTCTCCAGATCATGCAGTTCGATGAGTCTCTTCGAGTCTCGGCAGCTTGTGCTCGGTTCCATCACCTCTGCCCTCAAGAGCCCAAGCTGCGCCAGTGAGCAGCTGTGAACGAGCCGAGTCTCGAGCCATCTGGTGGTCGTTGGGATCAAACCAGGGACCCTGCAAAAATTATCCCGGCCTCAATGTGCCCACACTGTTTGGAGAAAAATCCTTCCCACTCAAAGAGATGGACCCTGGACTAACAGAAAAGCACACTGCAGGTTTTCTCGGTGGGATTGGATAGCTAAATATAGCCAGTCATAGGGATGCTGACTCGTCCATGTTCCAAGTCACTTAGCCATCTGAAGCTAGAACTGGTCAATCAACGCTGGCCCAGATGGCTCGTGAACGCACCGATTTCCGCCACCGCTTCCTGGGCCGCCCCTACATCGCTAGCTTGATCCTGGGGGTCGTGAAGGCGGTCGGTCGTGTAAGGCGGTCAGTGCAAGTGGGTTCGACTTGCTGACTTGGCTGGTGTATCCCCCTTCACGCCTTGAATGTGAAGGAAAATGCTGGTGACGTGCGGATTTCGTGCCGTGCAGGACAATTGGGTGTTCACCGTCATTTCTACTTCACCGACCGAAACCAGCGAATCGACGAAGGAAATGAACGCAAGAATTGCACTCAACGGAAGACGCACCCACCCTTCCCTAATCAACCTAATCACTCCCCCACACATGCCTGGTCCTCCTCCCTGCCCTATATTATCGTCCCCCGACACATCGAGTCGCCGAGGGCCCCAGACCCAGGGCAGGGCTCCTGTCCTGCAGACATTGAATGGCCACGTCGGAGATGGCCCGGTAGAGCTCCGGCACCTCGACGCCCAGTGAGGTCAAGGCCTGGAGGTGGAAGAGTAGGCGGCAGGACAGGTGGCAGCAGGTCCAGGAGAAGCTCTAAAAAATAAGAATAGGATCCATAGTTTGCTCCATAGTTGAAGAAACGAATTCCTTTCACACACACTCTAGACTCTATATAACGTCAACGAGTTGTTTGTTTAACATATTATATAATATCCTAACGTGGAGAACGAAAGGGCACGAAGAGATACTGTAAGACCTTAGCCAAACCCAGTGCCAAACCCTAACGCAGTTGGAAGTCCCGGTCATGTGCCCATGGACCCGCTGATCTTGGAGTTGGCTCAAATCCCTCCAGGACCTGCGGACATCCCAAGGACATCACGTGAAGACAGCTCGGTCACCGGTCGGTCTGGTCTGGCTCCTGCGCTAGCTCGGCCAGCTCGGGCAGCTGCAGTTTCCGGAGCTGGCTGGAGTCGCCTTGGGCGGGTGTTTTCCGCTGTGATCGCGGGTCGAAACGTACACCGATCATCAGTGACCTGGTGCCTGCGTGGGGAAGCGACCTGCACTGGGGATGGAGAATCAGTATCAGGCTTCCCCTGAAAGCACGGAGATAAAGGAGCCATGTACCAGTCAGGTCATTCTGTCAACCCTGGCAATTCTACTGTATCCCTCTAGTTTCTTTGCAACATTTGCAGGAGATCTGGTTCCCTGAAAGAGTAGATTCGAAGGGAATGATCACTGTTTGCCTGACAGGTCATGTGACATATATCGACCGTTCATGAAAAACATGTTTTCTTGGGATAAAAACCGGTCTTCCATGACTTCCCGGTCCCGGTCTTCCAAACACACCGTTCCCGTTCTGTGCCGCACCACCGACCGGTCTTCCACCACGCCGCGGCCATTCCCATCGGGCGTGCGGCCGGCATCGGGTGGAAGCAAAACGCCCTTGGCCACCTGCCGCGCGCACCGCGACGCGCCACGAGGACGAGGAGGGTAGGGAGTGGGCTGGGCAAAGAGGAGGGGTTTTGGGTTTGCAGGCGCGCCCCATGTGGCATGGCTGAAAGAACGGAGCAACCCAAAAGAAATGCACCGCGAAAGGAAGAGGGGTGATGAGTGATGTGCATAATGTGTCTTTTCGTTACTTAATGCATGCCTTCTTCCTGTCAAAAGCACAAGGCGTGGTCTAGCCAAGCTGTAGCTGAACAGCTGCAATGGAATAACTCCCTCAGCGCAACAATTGCACCACTTCCAAGTGGCCATTCTGAGCTGCATCCATCAACGCAGTTGTCCCATCTGCCATCGCCGCACTAAATTCTTATAGCTCCAGCCTCGAGCAACAACCGCACCACTTGAAAGTGGCCAGTCGAAGCTCTTGTCAGCTCCAGCATCGAGCAACAACCGCACCACTTCCAAGTGTTCATTATAGGCTGCAAGCATCAAGGCTGTTACCCCATCTGGCCGGTCTGCATTCTTGTCAGCTCCAGCCTCGAGCAACAACCGCACCACTTCCAAGTGGCCTCCTTTTGCTGCAGCAGACAGAAGTAGGGGGTCAGTTTCTGCACCTCTTCCATTGGGATCGAGTGACTTGAGCAATTCGATTCTTCTTACACGCATGGAGCAGTGCCTTCCAAACGGCCTCCTCAGGCGCACAATAGTTCAGGACTATCAACTGCAAGCTTGGTACTTGTCTGACAGGCATGTCATCCTGTAGCTCACCCACCTCTCCACTCAAGAGTCTTTGTCGAAATCTTGAGAACCCAACTCGATCCGCCAGGAGTTTTCCCGAACAGAATGTCCATTCTCCACCATGTAGGCCAATTCCTTCTCATGAAGCTTTGTGAGAGTGGCACCTGAGAGTGTGGTGATCTCCATTAGCTCCTGCCGACTAGAGGAAATGCTTCGAGCCAAAATGGCTACGGATGATGTGTATATGAATAGACTCAAGCCAGAAAGATAATACGGAGTAAGAGTGAGCACCACCATGGCACAATCCTTGCAAACTAAACATTGCACAATGATCGTTCCCTGTGCATGCTTAGTCCGTAACTCCGCCAACACCTTGGGCCAAAAGTGCTTTCTGCATGTTCCTCCACAACTACGGAACCGAATCAAGCATCCCTCCAGACGTCGCCACTTCCATCTTCCCACTCTCCACCCCATTGTCCGAGAACTTCGACTCGCCTCGCGCCTGCGTCAGAGTATCACAGGGCACCCCACACTGCGAGGCGGCCCACAGCACCTCGCCGCGCCGCGCCGCTCCACTCCGCTCGCCGCTCCGCTCTGGTCTCGCGGCTCCGCGCGGACGTCCGCGGTCGCCGTCCGAGGCAGGACGAGGGACGCCCACGAGGCAGGACGGGGAAGCGCGGAACTCGTCCCGCAAGTGCGCCTGCGGAGCGAAACGGAGCGCGGTTTCACGGTGCGCCAAGTCTGATCTTGAAACCTGAGAGGACCAATGCCGAAGGAAAAAGAGGTGACGGCATGACCTAGTCTTCAAATCAATCTGACGTGTTCCTTTTATTTGAAAGACCTATGTCTATACGTGGCTAATAACAAAAAACACCAGCATAACCAGCACCTTAAACAAGCCTTCACGACTGCAATACACGCCTCCTTCACCGCTGCTTGCAAAAAGCCTTTGATCACCTGTGGATCTGCTCGCGATCTCGTTGTTTGGATGGATGGATCTGAGGGCTCACCGGGGTCGACCAATAATGCAATTCCGCAATCATGCCTTGAAAAAGGCCCACAAACAAACCCAAATTCAAGTATGTGACATTCGAGGTAGGTGAGGCTAGTTTCAAGGTAAGTCATTCTTTAAAGATTTTTGTCAGGGGTGAGTCACTCCTCTGCCCACTCAAGACAAACATTATCCTTCCTGTGATCAAGACTCTCATTGTTCCTACTTCATCTTTGCGCGCGGTAGATGTCGTGGATGTTGAAATCGACATGCCTCTGCCCGTCTGAAATCGATCCGCAACTGCTTTGGGGGGCGAAGCCTTGGAACAACGTCAACCAATGCGGAACTGGTGACGTTGATCGGTAGAATTCGGCTGCCTCCAACAGTTCTGAAGGCGGCTCGGAGCCGGCAGCCTGATCGTTGCGCTGCATGATGGTCTTAAAGAACATGGGGCTGATTCATGCTGATTCACACATACAATCAAGAGGGAATTGTCCTCTTCTGGGTAGATTGTCAAATTGTCAATGCTAAAAAGATCTAAAAAGCCTTCGGTGGTACTGGATCGTGTCCATCAATGTTGCGGCGGAAGTAACTTACTATAACTTACTCTTCAAGTCGTAAAACAGCTGTTTGTATACAAACATAGTCATATAGAGATACCAGGGAGAGCCACTCAAGAGATTCTAAGAGATTGTAGCATGACGCCTGATCAAGGCCCCCGTGTGGACTACGACTACGACTGTCGGCGCTACGAAGGTCCGAAGCAATTGTTGAGAGCAGTGAATCAACCGGAACTCCCAGGCGTTTGGTAAGATTCCATTCCAGAAAGTTCTTTCGATACCAGATTGGAACTAAGAGACTAGTTCCGATGGTTCGGATGAATACCATGGAAACCAGTGGCAGACGGCATTTATAGGATGTGGGATAGGATTTCTGACCTGGTCTCCTCGCATTGATTTTGAAGTTTGAATGATTTGTGTGTGTATTGGAATAGGGATAACCATGGATAACCGCCAGTTCAACCCCCTTCCCAGAAAGAACCTAGACCGCACAAATCCGTTTGGTTGGCTTCGATTCATGACGGATCCTGTCTCCTTTTTTCACTTCCGATTTCATGACATCAGTTCCACACCTTGGGGGTGTCCAGAAAACCTGTAACAGGAGTCCGGACGAAGTTCCACATGACTGAAAATCGTTATATGATTAGGGAAAGGCCTGCTTGCCTGAACCATCCGGGAAACCACGCCTGAAATTTGTCGGCCACTGGACCCGTGGCAGACGCTGCACGAGCCTGGAGGACGACGATGACGAACACCGCCGAGCGAGCTCATGTGACGAAAGAGGCGGTGAGACGCGAGACGTGAAGATTGGTTGAAAGGAGACACCCTCAACGAACATCCTTCTCAAGAAAGATGGTTCTTTTTTAACGTTGTTAGATGTTTTCTTTGTTTGTTTGTTTGTTTGTTTCATGTGTGTGTGTGTGTCAACCCCTGTGCCGAAGGGTTCGCCACCACCTTCACCTTCACCACTGTTTCACAAGCAGGGGGATGGAGAGGACACGTGAGGCTCCATCCAACGAAGCTCCTCACGTGCTCCTAGGATATCATCAGGGACGCCTGATGACGTACCTGCGCCGTGACACCACTCCACTCTTCCTTGCTGTGTTTTGATGCCATGGTTGTTGATCACGATACTCCCCCCCTCAAACAGGTTTCCCACAGCTGCTTTCAGTCGCCGTCGTTCAGCCGCGTTTCTGCAGACAAGTGAACATTTGTTCAACAATTCAGTTGCGCTGACCCTTTCACCTTGCGTTTCCCTCATTCCTTTTGACCTGGGAACTGAGTTAACTGAATACCAATGTCAGAGTGTGTTTCGCTCAGCCGTCCCACTCGGGTGCTGAGTGTGATCCCCGTCACTGGGGCGCTGTTTCATTGGGAAATCTTTAACGGAACTCACTACCGCTCACCGGAATTTCACTGGAACTCACCTCCACTTCCAACGAATTAACTGCCTCAACGGCCGCCGGGCCTAAACACGGGACCTGCCAGTTCGCACAGTTCGCAGAGTTTGCACAGTTTTCTGCATGGTCTTGCATGTTTTTGCGAATGTTTCCTCAAGCAGTGCGATTTGAGTTTTTTGAGCAGTTTAATTCGACTTGCATGAACACACTACAACACCACATAACAACATTCCACATGACTACAACTCTCACCTTTCCACAACAACACATACCCACATTCCAACCACGCATTACCATCTCAATTTTTTGAACGATTACACCAGCTGCTGTCTCCGCTGCCGTGCCGCGCCGCCGCCATTGCGAAGACTTTGCCAAACAGCTGCCACGAGTTTTTCGACAGTCCTCCACTGGACGCCCGATGCAGTATCCCTGGCCTTACTCACACGCAACACCACCTCCACTACCCACTGCACCAACACAACCAACAACACATTTGCCACATCCACACACAGCACCAGCATTTCCTTATCCACAACATCCGGCCATTCCCGTACCACAACACCCAACATTTCTAGCTCCACAACCTCTGGCTATTCCAACTCCAACACCTTTTCACTCAGCACAACCAAATGCATTACCTTATGGTCCTCACTCCACGTGGACCCTTGTACACCCTTCTCAGCCACAACCGACGCAACCGCAAACCACATATCAACCACAGGCACCTCCCCCATCCTACCTGGTGCAACAATTACACCATTCACCACCTACCGACCCCGCCACAGCCACCCCAATACAGCCGACTCCTGCACCTCAGCAAGCCCTTCCGGCTACCACACCAACAGAACCCCAGTGGCACATGCCGCAAGGGGTATGGCAACCTTTTTCAGCATTCCCCCTTACGCCACCTTTGCAACATTCTCCATCACAACCCCAACTGGCACTCAGTGATTCACCACAAGACCCACAACCACACCAGCAACCTGCACCACAGGACCCTAACAATCCAGTTCCCAACCCAGCGACTACGGCCACTGTCTCACAACCCTCTCCATCGCCATCCATCGCCTCAGCACCACCGGCCACAGTGACTCCTGACCCCGCCGCCGGGGCACCAGCCAACACAGTTTCACCAGCCCAACCATCCCCCCATCAACCCCACAGCAGTCGCCGCCACCATCACAAGAGCTGCCGCAAGACCGACCACCACAGACACGGTCGCCACCGACGTCGCCGTCGGCGCACACACCGCCACCACTCCAAGACCACCAAACATCACAGTTCCTCCTGGAGACATCGCTCGCCATCCACATCCACATACTCCTACTCCTCCACACCCTCCCGCAGCCGCTCCAGGCAACCGATCGACTTACGACCCAACACAGATGCCTCCGCAGCAGACAATACCAACACCAGCACCTCGCAATATCCACTTACACCAGTGGTCCGTCGACCATCCAACTTCTGGCGACCCACACCACACTTTCAAAAATTGTCGCCTCAGGAGCAAATCCTCACTTGGCTTGACTTTCATGCTGACCAGCTCGACGCTTCCAATCGACCTCAACATCAATACCTGGCCAACCTTCTCTTTGACAGCAACATCACATACAAAGACATCACTGACTTCAGGCAATACACCTATGTCAAGTGGAATGAGGCCACCCAGCAATACGATCAGCTCCAATACAACGCAATCTCACTCCCTTATCTCAACACCAAAGCCTCCAGAACCTCACCACCACCCGTTTCCCGCGCCACCTCCACTGACAGGGAAGTCGCCCACATCAACGCCGGCCACACCGGCCCTGTCGGCAACATCACCAACATTCGACAAGGCCGTTTCCTACCCAGCACACTCCACTTCCCAAACTATCCCGGATTCTTTGCTCAAGGCGTCCGCATTACACACAACCAACAACATGACCACGGCGAATTTGCTCACATCATCCACAATACATGGCAACTCTCCAAAAACACCCATTCCCTCACTGTCACACTCCTGGCTTGGGGCGCCGCCACGAAGTACACCTCTGGCGGCGAGGAGCAGGCTATGACCCTTCTACAGGACCACCACGGAGCAGTCTTTCATCAGAAAGGCAGATGCTGGGTCATCCACCCCGACCATGCCATTGTCAAAGGACTGGCATGGTCCATCAACTCCACCCCACCAGAACTATGACCCCTCCACACACCACAACCCAGCAACCACCCATTACAACCCTTTGTTTCACCTAGCCACACTTTCGGCTTCACCAACAGCCGAAAACAACGTTGGCGCTTGCAAAGCCATTCCAAGCTTTGCTGTTACATGGCAACCAAGCTTTGATGTTACATGACAACCAGCTTTTCAGACTTGGAAGTTTTCAAGGGAACTGTCACTCTTATGTTGCGACTCTTTCTCCACTGTTTCATGCTGAGTTTGAAATCATTTCGCATGAATTTTGGCCCGGTCTTTGTGATTAATTCGTTTGCACGCCTTCGTGATGCTGCGCCGCCGTTGACCAGCCGCCGCGCCGCAGAGCCGCCGCGCTGCAGCTAAGAAGTACGAAGAGCTCCAACGAATTATCCTACACACATTCCCAACATATGACCAGCACAAGCCCACCTCCTCATGAAGACACCAATACATTACTACATCAAACGACAGTGGCGCTTTCTCAGATTCAGAACCTCCTCCGACAAGCAACCGACATCATGGCACATCTTCACACTCGCTTTTTACATCACATCGGACAGGCAGATCCCACTTTCCACCGACCCTTTACACAGCTGCCACCAGCACCAACATACTCCATCAGTTTACCCTCCCCAACCTCTTCCTGCGACTCTGCACCACCCAGACCACGAGTCCGCCCACCACCACAGCCTTCCATCAACTCCGAAGACACACTTTCTCCTACCCCTCCACCCAAGCGTACACCGGCTCGCAAGCGCAAACAGCCACCGCCGCCTCCACTCAACCCACATGCAGACTGGGATGCCTGGGATGGTGAGGCTGATTGTCGCCTCGTGGAGCTCAAAGCCAACCCCAAGCTTCGACCCAATTGGATCTTTGTTGCCCGACGGGTCGGATACTCCGTTGAGCAGTGCAAAGCTCGATGGAAAGAGCTTCAAGATCTGCAAAGAGTACAGGACACCAAACCGCCTGAATCCACTCCACTTACCACAGATGCAGAGAAGATGACACCACCCCCACAACCTCTACCTTCCACTCCGAACCACATCTCGCCTACTCCTACATCACCAGCAAACACACCACCACAGCCATCACAACCAGACTTCTCACCCTCCCCAACGACAACCCCTGTGTCTCCACACGAAGTGTCTCCACACGAAGTTTTGCCACCGCAGCCGGCTGCTGAGCGAGCGCCTAGTGAGAACAGGCATCCGGAACCACCTTTCGACATGCCTATTGGCAGCTATTTCATTTGACCGGTTTCACCCATTTTCCACGGCGTGCCACAGGATAAACTCAACACCACATCTTTTGACTTTCTTCCTTGACTTTCCAACAAGCAGTCATTATGCTTCAAGCTCATTTTTCCTCAATTTTTCTCATTTCACTGTGAACTCGCAAAAACCCCCACTTTCAAGCATTTACTGTTGCCGCTTGACTACATGCCTTTGCGACATACACTTTGTTTTTCTGACAGGCTCACCACAGTCCCGCAGCATTTACGTGACTTTCAGCCTCCTTGCCATCACTCATGGCCTCCTCCCGTGATCGCATTGCAGCCAACACTGCTGGCAATTACTACCTACCCGGACGACCTCCCATTTACCTTGAACCGTCCATTACCCATCAACCTGACCTACATTCACTCAACTCCTCGCTCGACATCCTTTTCCTGATCGTCCAACACATCACTGCACACAGAACCTATGCCGAATCAAACATACTTCCAAGATGACAGAGCCTACAACATACTCTACCAATACCGACGAGACACGACGCTACTGGACCGCCTGGTGGACAGCATCGCCCAAGCCCGACGTTTGCTCCAATTTGTTCCCGGACAGCCTGGCCTCCCGGGACAATATCGCATTGATCCCTCAGCACGGATTTCCTCCAGCACCCTAGCTGCCCTCCACAGCACTCCACCCGGATTCCCTTTGCCATCGACACCATCAGACCACACGCATTCACCACCACCAGGTACACCACCTGAGGACGCACTCCGTTTTCACCACTACTGGACTGGCCCTCCACCACGCGAAAACCATCGCACCGGCCAGAGCAACCACAACACCCAAAGCCGTGCCAGGGATCGCTCCCGCTCCCGGGGCGCCAACACCGACTAGCCCACAGGCCTCACAACCAAGGCACT